CCCTGAATGTGAGGTCATCCTGGGCTACAGAGCAAGACATTGTCTCAAACCAAACACACACACACACACACACACACACACACACACACACACACACAAGTACTCCCCCCTGAGATTCTAAATATATAAACCTTAATGCACCAAGTAATATACCAGTAATGTATACAAGGAGAAACCTGCAGAAAAAAATAATTAGATTAAAAAAATAGACTTTCCAAAGGTGAGAATTACCTCAGATTTGACATATTAGTCAGACAAAAATGCATTAAAGGCAAGCAGTAAAAGATGGGAAGCATTTCAAACCATCTAGCAGCAAGCTGAAGAATGAACGTAAAATCATGCACCTTCAAAAGAGAATATGTATTCTTCTCACGGAAGTTATAAAAATTAACAATGTTTTTGGCTACAGACAGAAGGTTAATAGATTCCAAACCATAAACACTTTCCCAGTGTATTCTGGACTATTTTACTATAACACCATAAAACAAGAAACAAAAAGTTGGTATATCTTAAAAAACATTCTTCTGGGGTTAGGGTATAGCTTGTAGTAAGGTACTTAGGCAGGATGTGCAAGAACCTGGGTTCAACCCCCATGCCCCCCATGAGAGGGAGAGGGAAAGAGAGAGAGAGAGAAAAACAACCCACAAAAGCTTAATAAGGTGGGAGGGAGCTAACGGGGAGGAAGTGAAAGTAACCAATGCATTACATTCATAATGAGGTCATCAAAGAAATAAATTTAATTATTAAAACAACTCTGATAAACCAAGTCATTAAAACAAACATCATGGTTAATTTAGCTTATATTTTCAACAGAGGCTAAATGTGAAACGTCAATAAAACACAGAGGTCATTGAGGACACTGGATGGCCAAGTGGGATTCATTAACATAATGTCCATAAACATGGCATCTAACAGAATGACACTTGGGTATTCTCCTGTGTCCAAAACACAGAGGCAGAGACTGGGGAGTCAGAATTTAACAGCGCTGGTGTTAAAGGGAAAACATCACATAGAGTTTTGAAGTTTTAACTGACAAAACCATCAGTTGTCATGTGGCTGCCAAGCAAAGCTAATGCGGATTTTCTGCTGCATGAATAGACAGATACCCGTGCCTTATAGCGCAAGGGAGGCAATAGTCGGTGCCGCTCTGAAATGTTGTACTCCGCACTGGACATTTGGTTTGGGGCTCCAGTGGCCTGATTAAGTCTGTTCAAAGAGGTCTGGGGGCGGGAGGCTTACAAATGAGATTGTATGTAAAAAATGGTGGGAGGAAGAGAAAGGTGTGTCCTGATCCAAGACATCCCCTTGAACTTGAAGCTGTTCTCAAATTCATGGAGGGATTTTATGTAGAATGTCGTGGCCATGGGAACACAGATTTCCATAACTCATACTATTCCAAAGAACACAGGACTAGAAAGATGGTCAGTCCCCAGCCACAGAAAGTGTAAGCAGTATGAATAACGTGATGTGAACAGCAGCAAGAGTCATCTTTTGAAGATTTATTATTTTTATTGCATAGTATATGTGCACACACATGTACATCACATTCACACAGATACCCTAGAAGGTGGGAATTGGATCCCCTGAACCTGTGTTACAGGCTGTTGTTAACCATATGGTATCACTGCAGTGCTCTTAACTGCTAGGCCATCTCTAACCCCATGGAAGGGATTTTAATACCAACATGAAGTAGAATTCTTCAATTCATTGGAATCCACTATTCCTTCACTACGGTCTGTTGGCATCTGAGTTTGATATCCAAACTGTAAAGTGGGTTGTTGCAGGTGCTCAGCATTAACCTCTTGAATCCAGGAGGTTAGTATATTATTATATTATTGTTAATGTAAAGGTCTGGGGATTCACAACTGAACTGTCCCTAGTGAAACCCACATGGATCAGGACTATTTACAATCCCATGTAAAACGGTCAAACGAAGGCACAAGGTATCCGAGGAGTTGCGACAACTCATCAGTCAGCGAGGGTGGAAAGACACGTAGACCCCCTCAGAGAACACTTCAAAGACTGTGTTTGTGTATGCTATGCAGTAGGTGTGAGTTTGGAATCACAGCAACTGAGACGCACAGAATCAGCAGACGCCACAGGCCATCTCTTGACTCTGACTCTCTGACTGCAGAATACAGCACACCTGGCTGGGCTGCTGCTCCACACATGCGCAGATCTTTGGGGAGCGGCTCTGGCCATTACAGCACTCACAGCTACTGTGGAGCTCCCACAGATGCTCACTCTGCAGCTCCTGATATGCCCGGCCAGAGCCTCTGATGGACTCTACCGATGGGAGCTTGTAGCAACTAAGCCTTTTCTTCAACTTCTGATGCTCTTCCAAACCCCACCCCTTTATCCATAAAAAGGAGTACTTCCTCCTGTCTTTGTCCCCTGGCTCCTGATCCTGATGCTAAGAATAAATGATTCCATGTGTGTATAAGGACATTGTGGTCCTGGATGATTTTTGCACTCACTTTCTCCTTGGTCCATCCTAAGAATGTTAGAGCAGGGGCTACTTGAAAGGGAGGACAGTTGCTCAAGGTCACAATGAAGAGACAAGCAGGCTTAGAGATACCTTATTGAAAATAGCACCTTCATGTTCCCATCCCCTGAGACTTGGTGTGTTCTGACTTAGGAGGATCATGCTGTCATGGGGCCCGCAGAGATCTCCCAGGATACTTAAGTCCAGAGTGGTCTGGATGGGTCCAGCATCACTGGTGTCCATTGAAGTCCCAGGGCTTCTTTGCAATAGAGCCAGCTTTTGAAAAGGAGAGCTACCATCGGGTACTGCAAAGGAGGGCTAGCATCGGGTACTATGCAAAGGAGGGCTAGCACTGGATATTAATCAAAGGAGGGCTAGCACTGGGTATTAATCAAAGGAGGGCTAGCACTGGGTACTAGTCAGAGACTGTCTGCTTTCACTTCATTTATCTCATAATGGCTATAAAATGAGTTAATTCACGACAGGCAAACTGTCGTGTGAGCATGGAAAAATCATCAAGAGTATTAATTTAATCAAGTAAAACTTAGAGCAAAATTAATATAACACATTTAATGGTATCATAGAATTAATGCCCGGCATGGCCATTAGGCATAGATGGTAAACAGCTTATATGAATGACTCTAATTAGAATTACTTTAGCAGAGCCAAATCAATTTTTAAGTTGCTCTCGTCCCACTTTATTGGTTCTCTGTATTTATATAGTTGTGTTTTGCTGCTTGAAGTTTTTCTTGATGCCATTTGCCATCCAGCGTCTGGGCTGTTTCGAATGTGTAAAGATGATTCAGGGCCCAAGAGAAAACACCTTGGTTCCTTTGAACCGTGTCTACTCTGGACCCCGAGCTGCCCCTATTTCACAACATAGTCCTTTTCTTCCTGCTTTCCCTCCACAGTTTTATTTCTGTTGTGATGGGTTAGCTGAGGGAGAAATCTGTCACTTCCAAGAAGAGATGCCTTACTCTGTCCAGAGGAAACTTGACATTCCTAGGATGTGGAGCAAACTCATAGACAGCCCTGGACTGTGAAATCAGGAGCAACTGGCATCTCCTGCCAAACGTGCCCTGAAACCACCATGCAATTGCTTCAAGTTTTTGGGTCCCAGGGGAGAGCTGTGACCTGGAATTCAGGGTCTGAGATGATGACCCTGACCATTGTCTCTCATTCAGGTTCTTTGGTTTGGGTCCAATGCGTAGATTCTGAGAGCTGGAAGGAACCCTTGTTGCTTGATAAGTACATGTGGTGAAGCCATCTCCCCCCCAGCAGAGGTAAGAGCAGTGACTGGGCCATGGCAAAGTCGGGGGCAGTGCAGGAAGCCTGGGCTGAGATCAGAGTCCCAAGTGGACCTGGGTAAAGGGATGGAAGGCTTTAAATTTCGTTCAGTAACTTCTTAGAGCTGACATCGAGGGCTGCTTCCTCCATTAATAATGTAGTCACCCATGAAGGTCAGAGTCGGTTTGCCATCTTGGAGTTTAGAGTGCCAAGTGACAATTTGTGTGTGTGTGTGTGTGTGTGTGTGTGTGTGTGTGTGTGTGTGTGCATTATGTATTTAAAATGGTTCTTGAGAGCCACACCACCAAGCTGGGGTTCTTTCTGCAACAGGGGGAAAGTGTGGGAGGTAGGGACCAGACAGAGAGAAAAAGAAAGTCTCAATGCATAACAAGAGAAAGGTTACGAAAATGTGGGCTCTGTTGGTGAAGTGCTTGCCTTGAAAGTACCAGGATCTACCTGAGTTCCATCCTCAGGACCCACACTTTAAAAAATCCAGGCACAGTGGCATGTGCTTATCCCACTACTCGTGTCCTGAGGGTTCCTAGAGTGGGAGAGGATGCTGAGAGTCAGAGCAGGAATAGGTCATCTCAGTGTCACCATCAGTCATTAACCGGAGCCACCTGTCTCCTGCTGTGCATCTGTGGCCCTTTACCTGGGACGGCACAAAGCCCTGTCCTTTGCATCAGGCCACTGTCATCACAAAATCTTTGTGAATGGCATGGACTTAAGCTCACAATTGCACGAGGGCCCTCTGTTGGCACAGTGTCAGGGTTGATATAGAGAAGCAGAGACTACATCCAGACTGGAAATAGGACCCACCAAGACACTGGGCAGCAAGGAATCCCTACAGGGAATGACTTCAGACTGTCTACCTGCAGAGGCATCAGAGGGAATAGGGATGGAGAGTGCAGGAGGCCAGGGCTCAGGGCTGGAGTAAAGCAGAGTCCAGGAAGAGATCTGGGGCAGCTTCACTAGGGAGTGCATGGGTGGTCTGCAGTGGTCTGGAAGACAGCGGAGCGTCCAAGTTACCGTTTACCAGCTGGCCTCTGTGAGCTGCAGCCCTGTGTGGTTAGTCAACCCGAGAGACTGATCCTGAAGCCTGGGCTGGCCTGAAGAAGGCAGTCCCTCAACCACCCACATCCCCAGGGACTCATCTCCAGGAACTGTTACTGTAGGATAAGTGGATCTTGGGAAGGACCCTGTCAGCTTCTCCTTTTGTCACCTCCAGGAAAATTGCGGCTTATGATGAAGAAATCCAGCATCTCTATGAGGAGATGGAACAGCAGATCAAAAGCGAAAGGGAGCAGTTCCTCCTAAAAGTGAGTGTTGCACTCCTGGCCTGGCACTGGGGTATGGCTGCTTGGCTCGTGGACTCTGAACACCTTACCCCATTAAGATCCCAGCACACTCCTGTGACTGTCTTCTTTTGCACTAATGTTCAAGCCATTTATCACCTTCAAGCAAAATATACAGTGTGCTTATTTATTTTTATTCCACATTGTCTGCCCCTACTACCATGTAAGTTCATTTACTTACTAATCCAACCTCAGTTTCTAGACAAGCCTGGACTGTAAGAGATGCCCCACAGGTATTTGCTCAAGTGGTATGTGAGTGAGGAGGTGGGCGCATGGGGGTGTGGGTGGATGAACTGACAGAAAAGAAGGGAGAACAGGAGGGAGGGAGCCAGGGATGAGAAAGGAGGGATGGATAGAGGGATGGATGGATGAAGAAAGATAAATGGATGGATTGTCGGTGTATGGATAGGAAAGGAGACAAAAGGGAGAGCAAGAAGGAAATGAGGAAGGAAGGAAGGAAGGAAGGAAGGAAGGAAGGAAGGAAGGAAGAAAAGGAAGAAAGGAAGGAAGGAAGGTGGGATGGATGGATTACAGAGCATGCTTTTGCAGCTAAAGCAACCTGTACATTGGGTATCATCACTCAGTAGAGTCCTGCACGTATATAACAGGCCCATCAAAGCACACCAGCCCATTTCATTCTGCAAGCAGCAGCCCCAGAGGAGACAGTAGAAACCAGGCTGTCCACATTTCCTCTTAAACAACTAGAAAATACAATCACCAAGACAAATCAAGACCACCATCTTCAGCACTGGGAGAGAAAATGTGGCACTTGCACCCCGTGTTCCTGGTGTACCCACATTCCTAATGTACCCTGTTCCTGGCATACCCCTTCCCAGTGTACCCTGCTTCTGTTGCAGCCATGTTCCTGGCATACCCCTGCTCCTAAGGCACCCTGGTTCTAGGGTATCCCCTATTCCTGGTGCACCTTGTTCCTAATGAACCCCTTGTCCTCAGTGTGTTCCTATTCCCAGGGCATCCTATTCTTCGTGCACACCATGTTCCTAGCATACCCCTGTCCCCAGCGTACCCCTGTTCTGGCGCACCTCCTTCCCGGTGCTCTCCTGTTACTACACCTTTCCAGCCTTTGATGTTTTATTTGGAGGTGAGGACTGGTAAGCAGAGGTCCCTCTCCTCTACCAAGCCCAAGCTAAGCAAGATCTGTTTTGGTGCATCCTATTTGAAAAACCAAAAACGGAAACTCAGGAAACTCTGTTCTCCCTCCTGCAATTGTCTCCCTCACTCTGTGAGTTCTCAGCAAAAGGCTGCTGGTCTTGGCTGGCAGCCTCTGCCGCCTCTCAGCGCTAAGCCCAGGCTATTGTCTCAGGCTCTTCACTTGATCCAGATTTCAATTTTCCACTGCTTTGGATTATCCACACCACTGCTCCACTTATAATCACAGATGCTATTCACACTGCAGGAAAATCAGAATGCCTTCCAGAAATAGCTGGCCAGAGCCCATGGAGCCTTGCCAGTATTACCAGACCACCCCTATCGTCCCTCGGTGCTTTGAGGCCTTCTGAGTGCTCCAGTGTTCAGAGAAACTGGATGTGGATGTGGATGTGGCAAACAGAATTCACACACGTCCATCATCAGACCTAAAATAGCTTCCAACAACAGCAGTTCCCCCACCTCTACAATAGGAAAGCCACCCCCCCTTCATCCCTGTGACAGGCTGCACAGAGGAGACAAGCTCCGAGGACATTTTGTCCCCTCTGCCCAGGTCATGGCTGTAGCCAAGGTATGCTTCCAGAAAAAAAAAGGGTGGGCTCAGGCATGGGGGCTGGGAGTGAGCAGAGGTTGTGGGAAGCAATGAAGAACAAGTTAGCATCATCTCAGAGGATCTGGCTCTGGTGCTGTGTCCTCTTCCTGCCTCTCCTTTCTCAGTTCTACATACCAGGCCCAGAGAGCTTCAACTTTTGCTGTGAACACGAAAGCTCCAAGGATGGCTTTGGCAGTGCCACTAAGCGATTAGATGCAGACTTTCACTGGTCCTGGAGTTAGGATAAGGATGCTGCTGTCTGTGACATCACATAAAAGGCCAGAGCCTCTGACCAGAGTTTGGATGCTGGCCATACCCATATCAGTATATTTGATCATGAGAAAAATACCCACTCCAGACTGGGAGATGCCTACAATGATGTCCCAACAGGGTCAATATCATACTCCATGTGCCCTGTGGGAATGGGTTCCTCAGCACGGGATTCAGAAACCAATAGCTATTCCAGCATATTTCATGGGGCCTTGCTCTGTGAAATGTGGCTGAGCAAAGTAACTTGGTTCCTTGCAGCTGACTTTCTTCTGACAAAGGTGAGGGCCGAGACTAAGTGGACCCCATGGGGGTCATTGCACATGGTTCAGAAGAGGATGGGCACAGGTCCTCCTGTATCTTCTCTGCTCATAGATCTGTTTGGATGTGAGCAAAGGAGCTGGTAACATCACCAGAAGAGGCATGAGCCTTTAGGCAAAGGTGGCCAAAGGTTTGAGAGCTAGGAGCAACTGTTTTCTGCCAGATGTGGTAGCCAGGACCCCTGTAGTTATCCAATGTAGCGCCTCATAGCTGGCCCGTCTCAAAGACATGTCTCTGCCATGGGCTATTCTGGGGCCTTCAGTAACTCCTGGTGTGTGTGTGTGTGTGTGTGTGTGTGTGTGTGTGTGTGTGTGTGCAGTTCATTCAGTAGCTTGTCCCTACCTTGCCATAGGTGGACACAGCTGGGGTGGTGGAGCCGTGCTGCGAGCAAAGGGCTATTGGCTTCCATTCTGCTGAAATCCAGAAACATGAAGGGAGTAAGATGAACAGTGCAGGGACTCAACCCCAAATTTCCTCCTCCTGGCTCTGCTGGGCATGGCCTGCCTCTGCCACCCCATACCATCTGGGACACTACAGCCAGACAACACCACATCTGTGCCCTCAGGACTTGGTAGCTTTGTGTGGAGAAGCCCAGTCTGGGCTGTGAGGTCAATAGGGTGTTGAATGCAGGACAGAGACATCAGGAGGAACACGGCCCGGGAATCCTGAGTCATGGTGGATGAGCAGAGAGCGCTCCCATCTTCTAGGAGGCCGGAGTAATGCCCTTGGGGAGGTGGCGCTTGCGTAAACCTCTCTGGATAACACACACAGGCTCTTCCGGGTATGAATTCTTTGACTCATCTCAGCCTTCTCTAAGTTTTAAATGCACTGTGCCCTGAGCTACTGTGGTTTAAGGGACCAGAGAGTGTCCAGGGTGAACTAGAATCTCCAAGTTGGAGGCCGTCTTAGATATTTATAGATGGGAGGTTGGCCAATGAGTCAGACTTGGCCTCCTCCTCGCCCTGTCCCGTTCCACCAATGGCTGTCCTTAGGTCATTGTGTTGGGTGGGGAAGCACGGTAAGGCCCTGCCGCAGGATGTGGCCATGTGCACTTTTTCTGCCTTATCTCTGAGCATCAGCTTGGTCTCATGGGTCCTCCGTGGTGGGGTAAGCGGGTCACTGAAGCCTGGGATTTCAGGAGGATTTGTGCCCCAGCTTGCCCAGTTGATGAAGGAGTTCAAGTGCATACTTCCAAGGCTGTAAGCCAGGTGTGAAGCGTGTAGGACCCACCGTCTTCTCTTCCGGGACCCACTGTCGTCTTCTCCTCCGGCTTGGCAGGACACGGAGAGGTTCCAGGCCCGCAGTAGGGAGCTGGAAAAGAAGCTGAGCGCCAAGGAGCAGGAGCTGGAGCGTCTTCTCCAGAAGCAGAGCAGGGTAGGTTACTGCGCAGACTCAGTGGCCCCTCAGCCGGGTCAACTCACCTTTGCCTCTGCCCCACCCCCTTGGCCACGCCCGCACGGATTTTAAACTTGCCCTGAGAAGACCCGTGTGTCTGCATGTGTCTTCATTTAAAGTCACCACAAGGTGGATATGTTGATATATGCGTGTAATCACACCGCTGGTGACGCTGAGGCAGGAGGTTTGTGAGTTCCAGGACAGCCTTGTGGGCATAGTTCAAAGTGCAGCCTGGGCTTTAGAGTGAGATCCTGTATCAAAATGCTAAAACTACTTTAAATGTTTTAAAATTTAAATGTAAGACCAAGTCACAAATGACCCTAGATGAAGCCACAATTGTGTGTTAAACCTAGAAAAGTTCCCATGCGTCACCCAATCCCCAGGGATCTGAGTAATTATGGATGTTAAACCTTGAAGTTGGATCAGGCATCCTGCAGAAAAAAGGAGGGACCCGAGGGAGTACAGAGACACTTGTGAGACACTGGTGCTTTAGGGGGAGTACAGACACAGCTGTCATCTTCCGCAAAGCTGAGGACAACCCTAGCTGGAAAAGGCTCCTTAAAGAACTGCCCACCTGAGTATAGAAATGGAATAATGAGTTTAAGTACTGTAAAAATAAAATGTGATCCCCCAAATTGACCTTGATAATATTCTAATAAATGTTTAATGGACAAAACAGAAAAAAAAGAACTGCCCACGTGCCTGGACAGAGTCCAATGACTTCCTCTGGGACACAGCTAGATGCAAACACAGGTCACTCCCCACTCAGTGCTTGGACAGAGAAATGGATTGAGTGGCACACTCTGCAAGGTGTCAGCTGTGCCTAGAGCTAAGGACACCTGGATCATGGTGCCAGGTTGCCAGGCAGCCTTGCTCAGCAGCCTCCTCAGGAAAGCAAGAAGTCACGGCAGGGGTGGGGGGGCAATGTACACAGGACACATGACAGGATGGATGACATGGAGCCACTGGCCTCCAGTCTCAGTCTGCTTGGTCCTGGAAGAAATCCAGCCCTCGACAGTCCCCAGACACATGGCTTTCCTAGGATCAGAGAAGACTATTTTTAACAATATGCAAACATAAGCTTGAAGATTCCCCCTGCTGAAGCTGGGACTGTTGCCCCTACTGATCGATAAGCTTTAGGTCTAGGCCTCTTCTTTGTAGCAAGAGGCTGCAAACCCTGGTAGCTGCCTTTCCAGTTTCCATCCTCAGTCATACCTGGCTTCACTCCTCTCTGTTAGGCATTAAATTCATAGCAGTTACATTTATCCCTCAAATGAATGATTGCCACTGCATTTAATTACTGCACGCTTGCCTAATAGAACAGGAGCCTCACGAGAGGCTTACGACATTCCTTGTGGCTGCTCTTCCCCCCTCACTGGCCACATTCACGAAGCTAAATTTATTACCATCTATTTGCCTTGGCGTGCTGCTTTGTCTGGGGAGGGTTGGAAGCCCCACAAAGCCTACTCACTAGCTGAGGAGAGCTGAAGTGATCAACATGCACATTTTTAAATTGCTTTAGGGATGCAAGAAAAAGCGTGGGGTCTGTTTGACCTGGTTTGGTTAGTTTTTTGTTTCTGTTTTTTTCAGAATCGCCAAAGTCCATGGGACTCACTCAGGCAAAGCTGTCTCTTAGATTAAGGGAACTAGGCTCCTGTAGCTGAGAGGAGAGAGGAGATGGATAAATTTCCTACCTGTGTTCATGCCAGGGAAGGTGGCTTTATGATGAGTGGCCACTTAACTGTTCTCTGTCCTCATCAGGGACCAAGGCAACGACACTGACTTCGAGGACAAAAGGGACGTTTCCTGCCCATGTTGCCTTTGGAGGGAAGACACGGGTCATCTGTAGAATTTTCCTCGCTAGCAATCCCATAGAATGAGCCACCCCAGGCCTATCTAGCAGTCCCATGTGGAGACTGGAAGGACAGAATGTGCTATGAATGTCACTCCTGCCTGCAGAAATGTCTGCACACATGTGATGGAGCAGAACAGTGCTTACTTCGGCTTGAAGGCAGTATGGAGCTGAGCCAGCAATGGCCCTGGCCCTGCTCATCCTTCCTCTGTCCCCTCTTTGCAGCTGGAAGGCCAGTGCACAGCTCTGCACAATGACAAACATGAAACCAAGGCTGAGAACACCAAGCTGAGACTCACCAACCAGGAGCTGGCCCGCGAGCTGGAGCGCACCTCCCAAGAACTCCAGGAGGCACAGCAGCAGCTGGAGAGCCTCCAGAGAGAGGCCTGTGAGCTGCAGCAGGAGAAGGAGATGTGAGTCCAGTCCCAGTCACTGTGGGCTGCTCTGCTGTGTCCTGGGGACCAGGATCTTTTCTTTCCAAAGACCTGTTTCCTGGCCTGTGTGTGAAATGGAGAGTTAGGTTCTTACTCGCTGAGATCCCTTTCTCTCCCTCCTCTTTTCTTCTTTCTTTCTCCAGCAGAGTTTCACTGTGTAGCTCAGATTGGCCTTGATCTTATCATTCTCCAGCATCATTCTCTTGAGTTCTGGGGTGACAGGAACAACCCCCAACACACACACACACACACACACACACACACACACACACATACACACACACCTGATTTTCTTTGAGACCTCTAACCTTCTTCCAAGGATCTGAGACTACTAAGCAAAGCAGTGCTGTGCTAGGCATGGCCAGAGGTTCACAAGAAATAGTCCTTGTCCTAGTTGCTTCCTGTTGTGCTAAAACACGGACCAAAAGCAACCGGGAGTGGAAAGAGTTTATTTGGCTTACGGGGTACAGTCTATCATCAAGAGAAACCAATGCAGGAACTCGAGGCAGGAACCCTGGAGGCGGGAACTGAACCATAGAACATGGGAGCATGCTGCTTACTGAATTATTTTGCAGCTCAGGGTCAACATGTTTCTTAAATAGCCCAGGTCCGTCTGCTAAGGACAATACTGCCCACAGTGGGCTGGGCCCTCATACATCTATTAGTAATCAAGAAAATGGCCCACAGACATGCCCATGGGCCAATCAGTGGAAGCAATTCTTCAACTGAAGTTCCCTCTTCCTAGGTATGTCAAGGTGGCAATCAGAATTAGTCATCAAGGCCCTGGTCTCTGGAAATGTATTATGCATATAGAAAGACTGGCTATTCTACCCACACGTAAGGAGGCAACCCGAGCAGAGGCTGAAGGAGGAGAGGGCCCTTGGTACCCGTTGAAGTCTAGAGACCAGAAACCTCAGGCAAATGAGAGTGGAAAGTCTTCAGATAATGCGACTGATGGGTGACAGGGCTCTGGAATCATGACTCAATCCCTAGCCATCTTTTTTCCAGCAGTATTCCTCTGAGAAGACTGTCTGAGCCCACAAGGAAGCCCCACATCTCTCAATATTTAGCTTCCTGTTCACTGATCTTAGTGCCTAGCCATTGTGCTCAGGCAGCTAGACAGAGGCAGAGCCATGCCCGACAGCAAACTGAGTGAGTCTTGGCCTACAGTGGAGGGGATGATGCCAAAGTAGCCCTTCACCTCTGGTGACCTTAGATTTTTTAGAATAAAGGACTCTGAGACCAGGCAAGGGTCTCTCTAATTTATTTGGTCATCCATTTATCTACATCCTCACTGATATCCTCACCTGACAAATGGTCATTGCAAATTATTCCATGCTAGGTACCTTGGGCCTTCAACACATCTTACCAAGGTCAAGAACTTAACCTCATCCCATTTGAACACACTGTATCCTTATGTGGCTGGCATATTGTCAGTCTGATTGATGGGTAAATGAAGTCCCAGATGTTAAATGCATACCTACTAACACCCCAGAGGATAATGAGCCTCCAGACACTCCCATTCACAGCTAAGGCCTCATTCGCTCACTCTTCACCTCTTTACAAACACACCCATTCTGCCAGAGATCGTTGTGTGCTTGAAAGGGTACCAGCGGTCTGGTTTCAGGGCCTGAGACGATAGGCTGACCAGCACTAAGGCTCTGCACATCCTAAGTGCCTTTGTTCAGAGTGAAAGCCCCCACTATGTGAGTGCCAGCAAGATTCTGGAACATAGAGTACATCCAAAATGCTCCCACCATTCTGTTCCCGTGTGAAGTCAGAACCCTTTGGGATGAATTGTCTGGATGACAGGGACAAACTGTGTTTGGCCTTGGAATGTCACTCTAATAAGGCATCTCAAATTGTAAGATTAACTAAATGACTCCCAAGAAGCTGACTTAGGGCAGAGCCCAGCCCCCATGCCAGTGCTTTGGACTGCTAGTGTTGGGGGGACCATGTGTTTCATCTCCAACAGGCTGAGTCGGCTCTTCCTGTCTGAGAATAGGGTGCCAAGGCAAAGGCACCTAACTCTATGACAGAATTAGGGAGTCAGGCACTTCAAAATGCAACCAAGCTCTCAAAACTGCAAACAACTGAAGGCAGAAACATCAAGACAGTGAAGGGAAACAAACATTTGTGCAGAGCATGACAGCTGAGCATAGGAAATTGGAAGCTTTCCCACGTCTTATCTTCATTAACGAAGCGATCTCTGAAAAGATGGAGGCAGGGGCGTGAGGAGGAAATGAACTAGGAGTGTCTTATGGATGTGATGGGCCCATGAGAGTCTTCCCCACCCAGAGAAGCCAGGGGAGAATGCAAGAGCTCTGGAGAATGGAGACTCAGACCAACACCAGTGACAGCACTGTAAGGCTCCCATTCACTGCCTTCACTGTTACTCGGGAATATTGGTGTCTCAGAAAAGCCACATGGACAGCTAAGATTAGGCCAAGGTCCAAAGCTCCTTCTACCACTGTTTCTGGTGTCTTTGTGGTGCAGTGTTGCTTCGGAGCTGCTGGGAGGGGGTAAGGAGCAGACAGGGAGTAAACAGACACACTCATTTATCAGCAAGCTTTCCAAATGGACAAAATTAATTTTCCCATTCTCTGAAAACACTGAAGGTAGGAAAACTAGATTTGGGGATGAGATTAAAAAAACCTCTCAAGCGGTGAGATAACACAAAAATGAAGGGCAGCTGAAAAGCTGCCCCTCTGAGCTGATTTTTAATTAACTTTTATCTCAAAGATATAGTTTAAGACAAGATACAAAAGAATGATTCCCCAAGAGAAGTCTGTCTCCTTCCATGACCCCTGTCTCCTGTGGATCCTGGAGTCTGCTATGCATGAGCAAATGCATCCTCATGTGCACACACACACACACACACACACACATGAACACATTTGCACAGACATAAGCACATGCATACACACAAATTCACACACACTGGTAAGCACACACTTATACACATGCACACATAAATACACATGCATGAACATAAGCATGCACACGCACACACATACACTTACACAAACACTTTCCTTTACAGACTGGTAGCAAGTCAGACATATGGACTTGTTTTGCCTTTTTCACTTAACAACATATTTTGTAGAATGTTCCATAGCTCATCTCTTTCCTAAAAACAAAGCCAACAGCAACTCCCTGAGGGAAACTACCAACTTCCTCCCAAGGATTATAACAAAAGGCAGCTGGTCCTCTCCTTCCCAGTCTGCTATCACTCAGGGAGAAGTGACCTCAAGCTCAGAGGGTCATAAAAGTATAGTCAGTCAAAAATCCAAGAGTCACTGCTTAAAGATACGCTTTGGTTAACACACAAAAACTGTGCTGGATATATCTGTATGTGTGCATATGTGTGTATTCTGAATTTTGATCACCAAAGAAACATGTGTTCACTGGACAGACAGATGAAAATGTATTTGCATAAATGCTCTCTCTCTCTCTCCCTCTGTCTCTCTCTCCCTCTGTCTCTGTCTCTGTCTCTCTCTCTCTGTGTGTGTGTGTGTGTGTGTGTGTGTGTGTGTGTGTGTATGTGTGTGTGTGTGTCCTGGTGCTGTACACAGAGGCAGAGAAGACTCAAATAGCATGAGACGTATAAACTGCCTTCTCAGTCAAACACTTAAGACACAGAGCTTGGCTCTGCAATGAGTTCCTGCCAGCAGCAGGTGACAACTTCTCTGCTGTCCCTGCCAGACAGCAATAGGAGCTGTGTAAGAGAGCCTCCTGAGCTGGGCACAGCCAGGACCCATGCAGGAGCACGCAAAGGCTGTATGTGTCGTGCTAAGCAGAGCAGAGTCCCAGACAGGGGCCCAGGGACCCAGTTTATATAATGGGAAATACACTGTTTTCCCTTAAGTTGAAATTAAATATAATTGGTAATAAAATGTGAGGAATTCACATCTCTGCAGGAGCCGGCAGAGTTGTGTTGCTTAATTAGGCTTGTCTGAGGTGAACTTAGAATTTGATTCAGTCTGTTATGGTCGTCGGGTGACTTTGTAATTATTCTGTAAAGAAGAAGAAAGGAAAGACACAGATGACGCTTAAGGGCTGATGTTACTAGGCGCTTAGTGGGAGGGTCCCTAGGCGGATGCTGATGTCAGCTGCTCAGTAATGACATTTGAAAGGTGGAAGAGGGGGGACTGTCCTCACAACCCAGTAAGCACAGTCAGATGGAAAGGGACAAATTTATCAGGCTGTTGGGTACTTTCTGCCAGAGAACCACAATGCTGTGGAAATGGGAACTCTGGGGCATTGGTGGTGAGATGGGAGAGTCGCTTGAATTCTATGCCGAGGTTCAGAGCCCAGTGGCACAGATAAGGCACAGTTGTGAACTTAAGTCCAGTGCTGCCCATTCTGTCATTTTCTCTCCCTCCCTCTCTCCCTCTGTCTCTCCCTCTCTCCCTCCCTCCCTCCCTCTGTCTCTCCCTCCCTCCCTCCCTCCCTCTGTCTCTCCCTCTCTCCCTCCCTCCCTCCCTCCCTCCCTCCCTGGGATGTGCATTTACTTGTGAGATGGTAGCTGAGCCCCCTCTTCTCTTCATCATGCCTGCCACTCACCGGGCTGTGTCTGCCTCCTCCTCAGAGAAGTGTACCGAGTGACAGAGAGTCTGCAGAGGGAGAAGTCTGGCCTCCTGAAGCAGCTGGATTTCCTAAGGTGGGTCTGTCTGGGACTTTTTCCCTGCCTGTACTCTGGAATAACACTAACTCCAAGTGTAATAGTATTTTCTCATCAGGACCGCCAGCCCACAAATAATGACATGGAGACATTCACTATGAAAGCTCCGCCTTAGCTTAGGCTTATTCCTAGCTAGTTCTTAGGATTTAAATTAGCCTGTATTTTTTTTAATCTACATCCTTCACGAGGCACATTATCTCATCTCTGTGCTGCCCATCCTGCTTCCTCTGTGTCTGGCTGGTGACCCCCTTTCTTCTTCCCAGAGTTCTCTCTCTTTGCTCAGAAGTCCTGCTTATAGTTTCCTGCCTAGCCATTGGTCATTCGGTTTTTTATTATACCACTAACAGCAATATCTCTTCACACGGTGTACAAGTATCCCACAGCAATCAAGGGTGCCCACCTTTCCCCAGTCACCAGCATATTGTTTGGACCACTGAGTCCTTCCCACTTGGGGATCTGGAGTCATTGATGTGGCTTCCTCCACAGTTTATCCCTCTTTGTGTCAGGATCTGCCTCGTTCTTGGTGTCCTCCTGGGACAGTTCATGATCCTTGGCTGAGAAGGAGTATGTCTGAACAGGCAGCTATTCTATGGCAAGTATACAATCTTGGCTCCAACAAAAGCATTGAGTCTGTCAGGTAGTGGTGAATTCTGGAATCATCCAAGAGCATCTTGTTATTAGAGAAATAAAATCCATGTCTGGATGCTCTTACCTCAGTCACAGAATGAGTAAATGAATCACACATAGGCTAAGAAAGGAGTTTCCCCAGCTTCTAAAACCCCCTGAAGTAAACTCAAAGTTCACTACCAAGAAAAGCAAACACAGAAGGGAGAGTGGAAGTTGGGGGTTTTCTAGGTTTTCTATAGGCTGTGCCTGCCACCTGCTGATGGCCTCATGGAGAGGAGTGATGACAGAGGACTCTGGGTCCTCATTTTCAAAGTGCAAGTGGTTTCGAATCACTTTCCGGTATGTATGAAGAGTCTTGGGTCTCTTTTTGTGGCAGCAAGGTGAGGCCAGTGTCTTATGTATTTAGTGGTGAAGAATTCAAAAAGTCACCTGTGTTTGAGATGTGCTCTGCTTAGAATAAGAAGAACCAGACCTCCCTGGTTGAGAGACAGAAGGGGTCCCAAGTGGCCATGTTCTGCTCCACTAGAAGGCCTTTGTTCTCAGGAGGTTTTAGGAAGAGAACAAGATGCCTAAGGACATTGTTTTATTCATTCGTTTTTTAAACTTGTTTTTCTTCATTCTATTGTGCTTAGAAAAAAAAATAATGGAGGGATAGACCACAGACCAAAGGGAATGAATAGAAATAAGTGCCCATGACACAGATGTCCATGAGTCTTTCTCTTGGAGGTCAGCATTTGTGAGGTTCCAATGCACACACCTGAAGCCTTCCAGTGCTATCGCATGGTTACTACAACGCGATAAGCAGATGTGAAGAAAGAGGCATGACCGATTTCCCCATCTGTGAAATCATCAAGGATTCAGGAGAGAGAGAGACTGTGGGGGTGGGGTGGGGGGCAGTTGGAATGTGAGGTGCTAGTGAGACAAAGACCATGGTTGGAGTGTAAGTCATGACTTCCTTCACCTCTGCCCCTGTTCCTGCACAGAATATATAAACAAAACAGAAAACACGCGTTGCCATGAAAGGGTGAGCTTGAAGGCCTTCTAAACCCTCATTCAGGTTACCAGCTTACTGCTTAGCTGGCAGGAGGGTCAGTCCTTCAAGCTTGAGCAGCTCACTTCGCCATTGTCTGGGTTTACCTTCCATACCCCTTCCCCAGACTTGTTCCAAAGGCCTGGATGTCATTGAAAACAATAAGGCACACTGTCAGTGTTCTCTTCAAGAGGGATGGCATTGCAGGCCCTGTATCTTGGCTGTGATTCCTTGGGACAACCTGAACTCTGATCCTACAGGGCACAGTGAACTTAACGAAGTGCTGGGCCCACAGTCACATCCAGAAGATCACTGTATTGTGATTGGTGCTGGACCACAGCTGAACCCGCTCAGAAGTATGGACTGGCTCGTGGTCACCACGAGTGAACGCACAATCATAGACCTGAGCTGAGATAAGGGACGGGGCCATGGGGCTCTCCCTCTTGCCTCAACAGAAGAACCTTTAGTTATTTGTGTCTAGTGCACCACACAAACACCCCACCCTGAGTGTGTTCAGGTCACCACTCTGAACTCTCACTAAATCTTCAGGAATCTCCACTTACTACCTTCCCACTTAGTCTCCTGCTTCAGAAACAGCCAAAATGAGTTCACGGTGCTTGCTCCATGTTGACAGCCCCCATGTCTCTAACTCTGTGGATGTGGTGTGAGCTCCCAGTGTGTGCTCCTAGCAAAGGCTACCCCCATGCTATCCCTGTCCCCAGCTGGAGTTCTCAAAAGATTCGGTCCTGTCTTGATCTGTTGGCTTTCACTCTGCCCCATCTTTCCGGTCTCAGTGCTCCAGTCTGGCTTTCTCCCCCACAGTTCCACCCAAAATGTCCTCACCCATGTCACCAATGATTTCTACTTCTTCAAAAATATCAGTCCATTCTCAGAGCCGCACCCTTGTCTCTGACAGTCTGTTCTCAGCAGAACTTCCAAGGGGATCCTCTCAGTGCTAGGATCAGCCCATGACACTCTCTGCAGGACATCCCACCCCACCCAAACAACAATCAGTGCTTTCTTGTCTTGTTTGGAGTGACTATCAAAGCTTTTACTGTGGTCCAGGAAGCTGTGATTAGTCAAGACTTGGTCCATCCACCGTTCTCCGACCTCATCTCTTTGGGTGCCCTGTGTCCATCCTTTCTGTCTCTCCCACACATGAATCAGCACAGTTAAGTCTTTGCCTTGCTCAACCATCTGCCCAAATACTCTTTCTTCAGACACCTGGCCAGATCCCCTCCCTCCCTAGGGTTTGTTGCCTTACCAGCCAGGGCTTCCCTGACCATTGGGGTTGAAATGCTTGGCACTCTCTGGTTCTCCTTTTCCCATGACCCAACTTTAGTTTCTCAGTAGTCCTCACCTCCAACCCTAACATACGCTTCCTGAGTCCCGAACTTTGTGGCTGTCCACTCATGCATCCTTGATGCTGAACAAAGTTTGGTAAGCAACTCATATTCCACTGGTGTTCATGAACAGATGAACTGGGCAGAGAAGGAGCCCACCAGAAGGGGGATATGCCATCCTTCCCCCCAAGTGAGAGAGGCTGAGTGTTCCTCAAGGGCATTGTGTGCCACAAGAACACTCAGTCTTATCCCCCTGCCTCTGAGCAGATTTACACACGAACTCTCCTCTGTCCATAGTCACATCCCTGGACCTTCCATCTCAGCCTTTCTCCTCCACCCATCTGGCTGGCTAATGGGACGCCACTGGACCTGTCAACTGCAGAGTCCGTGTTTGAATGGCTTTCCCTTCCTATCCACAGGGAGAGGAACAAACATCTCCGGGATGAACGGGACATAAATTTTCAGGTAAATGGTTGACCAGTGCTCTCTTTGGACAGGGGCAGAATTAGATAAGGCCCAGGGGCAATCTGATCCATGCCAGGACCGATCAAGACTGCCCTGACACTTACGGTGTGTTGGGTCCTGTCTATGTGGGCAGGATGAAAGTGTAAGATACTAGGCAACTATAAAAAGGTAACAACCACATACAAATTTTCTGTAAAGGAAAATGCCTTCCTCTTGGCACAATCAGACTCAAATGTTTGGAAAAGCCACACATTTCTTGGATGCAAAAGTTACAGTTCCATCCGTGAGATGGCACAGTTGAAATGTCCTCATCACCTGGAGCAAAACATTCAGTTTGTTCTTTCGTTTAAATTTTTATCTCCTGATGAAAACCTCAAACTTTATGCCGTCAGAAACAAATTTACAATGCGCACATAGCTATTTGCCCAGTTGATCTTGTGTACAACCTTTTCTCCACTCTATACAGATCCCCTCCTCTCCTGTGCCTGAGCACAGTGCTGCGTATTTTCCCAAATAGTGTGACAATCACAGGGCTTCACGGTGCGGCACCCTGAAGAGCCCCTAGAATTCTGCACCTCCTTCTTCACCTCCCTTTTAAGACAGCACACATAGGAGTCTCCGAAGGGGCAGGGCCACTCGATAGGACTTCCTAATTGTAAGATTATCAGGCCGTGAACTTGTGTGTCCCTGGAGAAGGCGTTGGCTGAGCAGTAACCTCAACACGGTCAGCCTCTGAAGGTTGGTGTGCCTTGCATTAGGCTCTGCCTGGTTTATGCTGCTATCCCAAGGGTCCTAGTCAACACCACTTCTTTGCTATCACCAGCCAACAGGAATCGTCTCAGCTGCCCATATGTGTGTACTATCAGAGCAAGCCTTAAGCCTACACTTGTTTGTCTGATAGTGATAACGAGTATAATTGTTTTAGAAGAAATACTGATTTCTTTTAAAGTCTCAACCAAATGCTATCTTTATTCCTTCACCTGCCAAACATCATTCTGTTTTGAAAGAGAGGAGGTGGAGGGAAGAGCATTAGGAGGAAATCAAAGAAAAGGCATAGAGCCCAATTGATGCAGAATAGTAATTGAAGATTTGCCTGGAATCATTAAAGCCATGTCCTCAGGGCTGCTGGGGGCTCAGCAGTTCCTCCTCACTTATGAGTTCACCGGAAGCATGGGGTGGCTGATTAAGGCAGCCCTCTTCGTGTGACCTGGCACCCTATGTCTCCTGGATGACACCTGTTCCAGAGTCTTGGCAAAAGGGTTCTGAGCCCTGCTCCTCTCAAGGTCTGTGTTACAGATATCTGGCGTGTCCACCCACATCCAGTCTGCTCCACAGAGGCTAGTGAGGGTATGATGAGCAGAGCCAGGAGCTAACTGCCCCTCTGGACAGTTCCATAGCTCAATACCTCATGGGCTTTGGGGGCAAGAGAGATTAGAGCCACAAGGAAGACCGTGACTCAAAATACAGGAGCTTTTGGACCCTGTAAATATTTTCCTATGCAGTAAATACCTTTGTCTTCTTTTTTGGTCTCTTGCAAATTGCCAGTATTACTGTGACAAATAACACAGGAGGCCCAGGCTCTCCACTCTGTATTCCCTTCTCTAAGTGGATTTCTGGAAAGGAGACAGAGGAATCCTAGTTGGGAGTGGGGTGGGGTGGAAAAGCAGGGCAGTGGGCGACTGAACAGGGCAGGGGAGGCCAGGGAAGCCTGCCCTGCTTCTCTCATTTAGAGTCCTGTCTAGAGCCTTCCCTCACTTCTGCTCAAGCATCGAGACGGATCCACAGGCGTGGATCTCAGGCCGTTTTGTGTTTCTGCAGAAAGATAAGGCGGCCAAGGCAAACACAGCTGCTTCCAAGGCAAGCAGGAAGCAGAGATCTGGCTCTGTGATCGGCAAATATGTGGATGGCAGGGAAATCCCCAGGAGGTAAGTCATCAGCCACAAGTCATCAGCCACGGGCCCTGCTTCCTCCACTCACTCATCTCACACCTTTTAGGAGCCTCCTCTGGGCCCACATTTACTGGTCTTTGAAGTGTGGCCCTACCAGGGAAGCCTGAGGTTACTCTCACTCGCTTGCCTTGAGTCTTGGAGGACATGGCCCTCTCTGTTGTGACATCCAAGCTGGGGGGGGGGGAGACTATGCAGAGCAAACCTGTAGGATAGACACTATCTCTGAGGCTATCCTGCCCTGCTGTGGGCCTGCAGAGAGAGTGAGGGCTGATGGGAACTGAGAGCAACTGAGAAAGGGAGGGGGTAAAGGAGAGGAGGAGGAGGAAGAAGAGGTGATCAGGGAGGGAATGATGGAAGGAGTGGCTGGACAGTGCTCTGTTTCTTGGATCCACTTCGTTGTTCTGGAATGTAATTATACTGACTGTGAGATGAATTAAATATCATATAGAATCACCATTAGCTGAAACTCTTTAGAGACAAAATTAAGGCTTGTGATTGACAGCATCCTAATGGCTCATATTTAACTAACTCAAAGACAACGTATTGTGTTGCTGTTGGAGGGACATGAATTGAGCTTGAATATGCAAAGGGTTGGCTGCTGCTCATCTACACACACAAGCCAGTTCCCACACCCCTCCTCTTTTGAACAGGTGCTCCATCCACATGGATGGACACAGAGAGGTCAGAGCAGCCTCTCCCTCCAGTATCAGACTGAGGGAGCAGATGTGCAAGCATGGACTGAAAATACATATAAAGTAAAAGTGTCTTTGGGACGGAAATGGGCTGATGAGGGGAACCCCTGGGTCAGATTGTCATGGATTATCTCTCAATAGCTCAACAATGGGGTATAGCCTGGAAGCCAAATTTCCACTCTAGTATTTGTTAGCCTGTTGGATTCTCAGAATCGAATGTATTTTAGATTGATTGACTTGACAGTCATTTGTAGATTGCCTACTTTTGCACCTGACACTCCTTCGTGACACCTCCATCATGCTCATTTAGTAGATAGGTATTGAGTGGCCACAATTTGTGAGGTCCGGTGCCAGTCACTGGAGCAGAGGTGTGCAGGATAGACCCTTCCCTCCTTCATGAGCTCACAGCCAAGTGGCAGAAATAGAAAATAATCCGCTAAACATCAAAGTGTGCGTTCTGAATTCCAATATCGATTTTGGCAAAAGCAGCTACTCTCTCTACTGCTGGCAGGAAGTGTTTGGTGGCAAAACAAAAATGAGCTTAGACATGCTAAGCTGAAGCCATTACAGAATGTCAACAGCACTTGAGATGTTCCCAAATAAAACACTTTTTCCAAGAAGAGCTTCATTTTAGGGCACACTTGAATAGTTATCTTTTCCTGGTTGAAAACCTTTAGGAAAATGTGTGTCATGTATGTGTGTCTGTCTACTTACATATGTATGTACATGTTCACAGTGAATATAAAAGCAGCTAAGAATGGACAAGGATACTGTGTTCTGAACCAGATGGTCAGGTAATGGACTCAGTAGCATACACAGGAAGGGTGTTGGACAAAAGCCAGTTAACCTGTTTCATAAGTAGAGAGGAAGGTGTTCGATTTGCTATAAATCTTTTACTCTCTATCCAAACCAATTCACTGGTGCTGGAAGTAAACACTGCCTTAATTTGTCCTTCAGAATCACAGCTAGCATCAGACAGTGATGGGTTCACTTTGGTTTCCCTTTTCCTTCCTATTGTCGGCCGTGGGAAGAATAAACACCCAGAGCCAGGGGTAAGGCTAGTGGCGCTTTTGTATTGCACTGTTTCTGCGTCCCTTGATTCCGTTCCTTTCTCCCTCTCTCCTTTGCACTCGTTGCCTCACTGGTTCCTCTGCAGCTCTCTCCACACATTCACATGCGTGTGCACACACACGTGTGTGTTCGTAGATCATGCCTGTTGCCTTTGAAATACTCTCACCTTGAACTGTTCACTAAGTCAGAGAAGGAGCCCAGTGTTCTGGAGACCTGTGCAGACTCCAAACCCTTGGGACATACAGCCCATGCTTCTTCCCATGCCCCAACTGCCCGGTTCCTCCCGCCTCCTACTGTCTTCTTTGCTCGTAGCACCCAAATGCTTCTAGAAGCAAGTATGTGCTAAAGTCTTGGAAGCCACCCGCTCCTCCCTCTATTTCAGGAACTCAGAAAGGGAAAGAGGAAGGAGAAGGGGATATATGTGCTTTCTGACCCAAGCGCATTCATAATGGCCTGCCGCTGAGTCAGGGGACATTGTCATGGATGTGAGGAGGTTCCCCACAGCGACAGTACTCCTACACCGCTAAGGGATGCTGTGTGGACAGGTGCTGTGTGAGAGTGCCCTGTGTGGGCGTGTGCTACGTGGTTATCCCTCTCATGTGTTCTCTTATATATGAGTAGGCTAGGTAGATGGACCCTGTTTTGTGGTGAGGGAACTGAGGTGTGAGGAGTTGATGTCCTTCCACAAGGACATGCAGTTAATGGGGGCAGTGGTGGCAGCTCAGTCCAAGCACCTTGTTCTCCCGGAGTGCTGTATCTCCAACCCTGCACACTCCTTTCTGCACTACCTTCTCCGTTAAGTAACCCAGGTCATAATAACATATCTGTGATGTTAGCTGCATTGGTCCTCCTCTTGGTGCAGTCACCACATGAGGACAGGGCCCTTATTTTTAGTTGATACCTGGTAATAATCTTCATCAGCATCTTCGTCACTGGCAGTGATAGTGGCAGTGGCAGCAATGGCGGCGGCAGCAGCATCAGGCGACGGCCCTAATGAGGCTGTCAAAAACATGAGCTGAGTGATGGGTCTGTTGTCTCCTCTCCTTCCCCAGAGCTCTCTCCAGTGCCGTCGGCAGGCAAGTATCTCTCTGCTTCCATATTGATATTTTACCATTTTCTCCTGCTCATCTTTCTCCGGCCCCCATCCTGATAGCCAGTCAGTGGAGGAGGATGAGACATTCGGCATCCCCAGGAGGAGAAACTCAGTGAGCCTGAGTGCCTATCTCCTGGCAGAGGAGGAGCTGGGAACTGGAGAGCCAGGGGCTGGGCTTCCACGTCGCCAGGCACTCCGCAGAATCATCTCCATTGAGGAAGACCCCCTGCCTCAGCTCCTGGAAGGTGGTTTTGAGAAGCCACTGAGCAAATGCCCAGAAGAAGAGGAGGTCTTTGACCAGGGGGCAGAAGGGCAAATCATGGCAGCCCCAGCCTTGGAACTCATCCCTACGTCTCCCCGAGGGCAGCCTGTCGGAAAAGAAGCCCTCTACAAGGTAGGGTTCAGGCAGTGCTACTGAGATCTGCCCCTCTATCTTTGAGCTCAGGAACCCCAAAGGACACCCAGAAGGCCAGGTGCAGTGGGCTTGGGGATTCACCAGATTCTGTGTCCCAAAGGTCACCTTCCCTTCCTTACACGTTTTCAGCTGAGCACCATAGAGACTCATTCATTTCAATAACTTCTCGTTAATTTCTCTTCCCCCATATTTCACTGTTGGGAGTGATCATTGTTATTTAAAAACCTCTTGTAAATATTGTCAGTCCTTTTTAAGACTAGTCTGTCCCCTCCCCAGATTCCTAATGAGTAAAACCTGGGCTCACAGGAATAGCTGATAGACAGGAATATTCATTATATGATGTCATCTCCAATGACAAGGAGAGGTTTTTAAACACCCCTGGTCCATGAGACCCCCTGACCTAAGACAGACTCAGCCTTCTCATGGATATCTCCACCCATGGTCTTCTTATTTGTACCTGTAAGGGCCCTAAAATATAAGGGTGACATCATAAAAAGCCATCTTAATACTCCCACTAAGATCCTAATAACTAACACCTACTGCCTATTCCTTTACCAACCCTCAGACCTACAGTCCAGACCCTTCTCCTTCATTAATAAAAAGTAAGGGTCACTGGATCTACTTATTGGAAGGCACTTCCCAAAACTCAGGTGCCTTCCCACAGATGGCCTGGTGCCAGAGAGATAACCCATGGCTTAACAATGCTAACACCTACATTCCCTGGTGAGATCTCCTGCTCTTTTGCTTATCAAAGGCTTCCTGCTCCTAACAGCCCCCTGCCTCACTTCCCAGCATCTCCGGTCTAACAACCTCCACGCCATGGCCCATACCACATTCCCCTATTTAAGCCTGTATTCCCCTATTTAAAACTTTCATTAAACGGCAGCTTGATCAGCCATGTTGTCTTGCTGTCCTCTTGTCTCTTGTCTCATTCATTCCAGGTTCCCGTGAGCTTGAACCCATTGTGCCCTGCTGGTCGGGGCATTTCACTCTCTCTCTCTTCTAACTCAGATCTGAAGCATTTATTAAACACCTGCTGGAGTCAGTGTCTGCTACAAGAGGTCATTTGGTATGGCTCTGTCAAGTGTGCATGCCTTCATCTTTCTATTGATCTCCTCAGGCTAAGCCTCTTCCGTTCCCCGGTGTCCCATGTACACTTTTCCCGGTGTGTTTCTGCACACCTCCACCTCCTCACTCAAATTTCCCTCTGAACTCTGGAAGGAGGGCAGTTCAAAGGTCATGGCGCTTGGTTTTTATTACCAAACACTCTCTAGAAGGGTGGTGCCTCTTCACCTTGTGGGAACTATGTCCCTCTGTTGGTTTGTAACTTGATCTTTGGAATAGGCCATCGAGTCCTTGGCCTCTACCCTGACCCTCCAAAACTTCTCTAGAAATGTCATGGCAGTGTACAAGGGGCACCTCCCTTGGGCAGCCCCCAGTCAGTGGTTCCTCTCTCCCCCCTGCACTCCTTTCCAAGTCCCTTCAATACATGGCCTACACTCACTTTCAGTGGGCACGGATAGGTCAATGTTAAAGTCATCCCAAGATGTCACCCAGTATCACAATATGCAGCCAGGAGGTCTGTAAGAGACAGGTCTAGAGGGAAAGACTGTGTTCCTTTATGTTGGGACCTGTCTTCACTGTGGTCTGATGGATAGGCCTGACAAAGGTTTTCCCCACTGCCAGAAGAAGTTGGAGCCCAGAGGGGAGAAGCAAAGGCAGCCTGCCTCCCTGCTGGAATCTTAGCACAAGGCTGCCCAGCACATGCCTCCTAAGCTGTGTGTTCTGTAACTACTCTTCTCTCACAGAGCACCCCCAAGACTCCTCACGAGGCTGTGCCACCATATTGATACAACAACAGAGAGAATAAATAGGGTCAGTTGTGAGGAAGGCTGCCCTGAGGCAGACCTCTGTGAGGCATAGATGAAGCCACCCTTCTGAAGAGTATCTGGTAATAGGAATCAAGTGTCTTAACCTTTCAACCTGCACTTCTTGTTTTTTTTTTAATTTAAATTAGAAACAAGCTTCTTTTACATGTCAATTCCAGTTCCCTTTCCCTCCCCTCCTCCCCTGGCCCCCACCAGTCCCCTATCCCATTCCCTTTCTGTTCCCCAGGGAGGGTGAGGCCTTCCACGGGGGATCTTCACAGTCTGTCATATCATAACGTGTCTTTGGGTTCCCAAAGCCCATTCGTGTACTAGGAATACATACTGATCCACTACCAGAGGCCCTGTAGATTGCCCAGACCTCCAAACTGACATCCATGTTCAGGGGGTCTGGAACAGTCCTATGCTGGTTTCCCAGCTATCAATCTGGGGTCCATGAGCTCCCCCTTGTTCAGGTCAGCTATTTCTGTGTGTCTCTCCAGGCTGGTCTTGACCCCTTTGCTTATCACTCCTCCCTCTCTGCAACTGAATTCCAGGAGTTCAGCTCATTGTTTAGCTGTGGGTGTCTACTTCTGCTTCCATCAGCTACTGGATGAAAGCTCTAGGGTGGCATATAAGGGAGTCGTCAATCTCATTATCTGGGAAAGGCATTTAAGGTAGTCCTTCACTATTGCTTAGATAGTTACTTGGGGTCATCCTTATAGATCTCTGGACAATTCCCTAGTGCCAGATTTCTCTTTAAACCTATGATGGCTCCCTTTACTATGGTGTCTCTTTTCTTGCTCTCCTCTATTCTCCCCTTGACTCAATCTTCCTGCTCCCTCATGTCCTCCTCTCCCCTCCTCTTCTCCCCTTCTCTTTCTCCTAACTCCCTTTCCCCTCCCCCCGTGCTCCCAATTAGATCAGTAGATCTACCATGTATGTCTCTCTTAGGGTCCTCCTTGTTTCCTAGCTTTTCTGGAGGTGTGGATTGTAGGCTGATAATCCTTTGCTCTATGTCTAAAATCCATATAAGAGTGAGTACATACCATGTTTGTCTTTTTGTGACTGTCATCCTGCACTTCTACTCCTAGTGAAAAGTCGAGGCTGTAAGTGCTGTTTAGAATAGAAGAACACTAAAAAATAAGGCTACTAAAGGGACTTAAATTATATTACAATAATTTAGAAGAACATTATAAGCCTGCTAAAAATTATGATTCCAAAAAATCTTTAGTGACTCAGAGGGATTTTTATTGTTATTAAATAACTATGATAACTGGAATAAATATACATAGGCATATATTTATTTCTCTAGTTCATTTAAATAAAACATTTTCTCATATATCTATAAAGACTGAAAATGCAAAAAATGTGAATAGTGACTGTCTCAGATTATAAGAAATTTTGGCTTTTCTTCTTACAACTCTGTATTTTCCAAGCTTAAAGATTAAAATATATGACTTAAAATTTTAAAAATTTATTTTATTTGCAAATGTGTTTAGGCACATGCATGCCACAGCGCATGTGTGGAGGTCAAGGGACACCTTGAGAGAGTCAGTTCTCTTTTTCCGCTGTGTGAGTCCCAGGGATAGAACCCAGGCTGACAGCCATGGTGGCAGGAGCCTTTACACTGAGCCATCTTGCCAGTGTATCATTTTTGCTTGGAGGTTTTCATTTTCTGACTTGGTTTCCAGGTGTTACTGTTGCTTGTTTGTCCATCCATCTGTTTTGTGGTGTTGGGGACAGAAACTCAGGGTCCCGTAGTAGAGTCAAACCCTTTATGTCTTAGTTACACCCTAGCCCTGCCTTTTAAGCATGTAATAGGGAAAGGACAATGACAGTACAGGTCCAGATGTGATAACCAGCCTTCCTTTACCTGTCTGACCCTACAATCCATCTTGGGGACAGATGGATTGTCCCCAAGGAAAGAGTGCAGGCTGAAGGACCTCCCTGTTCATGTGGATTAAGCTGCCTATATCTGGAACATTTGTGGCCTTATAGGTCGGTGCTTGAAAACCAGCGTTCTTTCAGGGAAGGGACAGGGCAACCATGGGGCAGAAGGTCAGGCAACCCCGCAATCACAGTCACGGCCACCATCTCTACCCTCCACCCTGGGTTTCCAATCCCACCTCTTTCCTGTGCCTGCTCTGCCACATGTTGCTTAAAAAACCATAGTTAGAGGCACCTAGACACAGGCAGGCAGAAGCCAGTGCCTTGTGTCTTCAATGGATAAAGAAAATAGGGCAGAGGGCACTGTATCTTAAATTCTAGTAGTTGACCTTAAATTCTTTCTAACAACTGCATTTTTCTCCCAAAGTCTATTGGTGGCTTTGCTTCGGAATTCAAGTTCTGCTAATGTCAGCTGTGCTTTGTTATAAATGTATGGCCCTTGCTCGACCAGATAAGCTAACTCCCTCAAATCCACTTTTAAATCCACCCCAAAGAGCCCGCCCTCTGATCGGCAGTGCTGAGCTGAGCTTGAAGGTAGGGCACGGGATGAGAGAGTCCACAGGAAGGAATGGCGCTCACACCAACTCCTGCTCGCTGTCTGTCCCAGAGAAAGTTCAGCCATCCGCATCACAGTCCCAGGTTGATGGCAGTCCTGTTCTGCCTTGTTCTCTGGGGCTCGATGAGCAGAGCAACGTGTGGAAGCCTGTGGAGACTTCGCACCTTCATGAGTGGAAGAGTGTCCTAGTTTGGATTCTGTTACCATGAATAAAAACAACAACAACACTGTCCAAAACCAACTGAAAGGGAAGAAAGAGTTTATTTTATCTTACAGCTTCCAGGTCATAGTCCATCAGTGAAGGAAGTCAGGACAGGAACCTAAGGAAGAGAAAGCTTACAGGCTTTCTCTCCATGGCTTGCTCAATTTCCTTTTTTACCACCTGTTCAGGGGTGGTGCTATCCACAGTGGACTGGGCTCTCCATGTCAATCATCAGTCAAGAACATGCCCCAGCCTTGCCTACGGGCCAGTCTGATGGAGACTGTTCCTCGATGGTTCCTTTTCCCAGACGAATCTAGCTTGTGTCAAGTTGACAAAAGCTAACCAGCACAAGGGTGGAAAATCACCACCTGGCTAATCCATGGCAGGTGTCTATGTGACAACCAGAGTTGGAGAGAGGCTACAAAGGCCATGAGCAGAGAGACTCAAGAAGGTCTCCATTCCACCCGGAGGCTATGCTCCTGGGGGACACATGGCTGTTGATACCTATTTACTATAGTCAGGGCATTTATGGCAAAGTAAAGAAATGATTCCAGCCAGTGAGAGAACTAATGGGCTAACTGGGGCTACTTACCTGAGCGTGAGTGAATAACACAAAGGCAGTTGTACCCCAGCAAGGGTGAGGACTCCAGAGAGCTGCACCATGGGAACCACTGCACAACTTGCAGGCACCTCCTCCAGAGAGTCTTCCAGTGAGCGTCCTCTTCCAGAGAGTCTCCTCCCCCAGACTAGTCCCTGTTTATGTGATCTTCAGGTGTCTGTGAATCTGGGAGCTTTAGCAATACCCTAAGTTTCTTGAGTCTTAGGAAGCATCTGGGGGGATGTTCAAAGTCATGGTCCCCAGCCCCGTTGTCTTCCATCTCTTTCCTCTTCCTTCTGAAGACTACCTTGTTGTCCCAGTGTGCTTCTCCATTGAGGTGATAAACACCATGACCAAAAGCAACTTGGGGAGGGAAGGGTTTATTTCACCTTCCAGCTCACAGTCATGGTGGGAAGTCAGAGCAGGAACACGAGGCAGGAACCAGAAAGCAGGAACTGAAGCAGAGGCCGTTGAAGAGTGCTGCTTATAGCTTTACTTCCCATGGCTGGCTCTGCCTGCTTTCTTGTAGCACCCAAGATCACCTTTGCCAGGGGCCGGGCACCATTCATAGTGAACTGAGCCCTCCCACACCAATCATTAATCAAGAAAATGCCCTACAGACTTCCCCACAGGCCAATCTGATGGAGGCATTTTCCCAAATGAAGTTCCTTCTTCCCAGATGACCCTATCTTATGTCACACTGACAAAACCAAAACAAACCCAGGACACTTGTCTTCCCCTGCCCCTATAGACAATTCTCCCTTCTCTCCAAACCCCTGCTTTCTGGAACCTTGACCCTTCTCACTCTCACTCCGTGCTCTGGGAACACCACACTCAGTAAATGTTTACATTCCTGACTCATCTACTCCATCAAGGGCCTGCCTGCTTGTCTCAGAGTCCCATCAGTCCTTGCACGTGAACTTGTATGAACGACTGCTATTTCTCCCAACAACCTCTTGTTCGTGCCAGAAGGAGCCCCATGCTCAAAGACCAGTGCTAGGTGTTTTCTGGGGGCAGAAGTGGCCTCCCTGGTGCCGGGATCTCAGTGGATAATAAAAGGTGACGTGGCAGCAGCAGGGGCTAGTGGTCATGCCCAGCAGGTGATCAGACTGTCTCCATCCACAGGAGGAAAGCATTCCCTCTACCCCAGACCGGCTCTTCAAGATCGTGTTTGTGGGTGACTCTGCTGTGGGGAAGACGTCCTTCCTAAGGAGGCTCTGTGAGGCCCGCTTCTCCCCAGGCATGGCTGCCACTGTGGGTGAGTCCGGTCCTCCGGGAGGAACTAAAGGACTTGTGGGAGGAATGGTGGCCCTGGCTGTTCGACAGTGGGCTAGGAGGAAAGAGGAGAAGCCCATCTCCCCACACTGTTAGGCGACTGTGCTCATGGTGTGGGTGGGGTGGGGTGGGGTGAGTGCTTCGTAGTTCCAGCCTTGTGTTTAGGGTGTTGAGATTGACAACAGTGGGTATGTGGTCTTTGGTCCTCTCTGTGAGCCCCCACCTACCCACCTAGTTTGTGCTACTTCTGCAAATAATCTTATGTGTGTATGTATGCAGGTATGTATTACTCGTGTGTGTGTGTGTGTGTGTGTGTGTGTGTGTGTGTGTGTGTGTGATAATACAAGTGTGAAGGTCAGAAGACAGTCTATGGAAGTTGGCTCTCTCCTTTCGCTGTGTGGATTCTGGCTATCAAACTTAGGTCATCAGGCTTAACAACAAGTACCTTTACCCAATGTGCCATATCCCTAGCCCTTTCCTGCTATTGGCCATTTAGCTCTTTATTAAACCAATCAGGTGTTTTATACAGATAAAGTAACATAGCTTCACAGAATTAAACAAATGCAACATAAAAGAATGCAGTGTATCTTTGCATCATTAGACAAATGTCCCACAGCATAAATAAATGTAACACATATTCAACTAATATTCCACAATACCACTCAGCAACAAACATTGGGATTTTCTTTAGGCTCACATCTGTCACTTGAGGTCACTTCCTGGTCTCTCACATTCCATGAGAAAATGGTGCGGAGAACCCTTGTGTCTGTCTACTCCACCTCAGGACCCTGCCTGCTTCTTCATGAACAGGTGTTTGGACCTCTGGGGATCTATAGATGCAACTGATGACTTTTGTGGAGCCCTGGAGCTGGAAAGACCCTTGGAAATGGTCTATTCACATCTAGCCAAATTGTGAGGGGACAGTCAGAGTGAGCATCAGAGACCAAACCTCGCTGGCAGCCAGGGTTCGTCTCCAGTGCTTAGGCCTACTTCTTCACATGGCTTCATAACCTCCCTGTTTTAATCACAGCCAGAACCCAAAAGCATGTCCTGATAGAATGCTTCCTCTTCTCTCTTGACCACCAGTGAGGTCCTCACCCTACATCCTGTAGGGAATACCCGAAGGTAAGGTCCTCCTGCAAGGCAACTTGTAGACATATCCCCTCCCCTCCCTTTCTTGCATGGTGACAGCCTGGCCTGTCTTCACCACAAAGATTGACATCACCTTTCAGGGACCCTTCAGTTCAACTCTAACCCATGCTACCTCCAAAGCACACTTCTAGTGACTGGTGATTTCTTTACTTCAACTGTTACATCTAATTGGGTTGCAAGTTGAAGGATATCTCAATGCCATCATGGAATGTTTCCCCAGAACTCAGAGATTATGAAATCCCAATTTAGTTCCTTCAAACCTCCATTCCCCTCAGCACACAAAGAACTGAATCTCTAAAACTGAGATGAAATGACATCATCAAGGTCATGCTGCCTGGTGTTGGCAGGGCACAGTCTCCTGGTGCTTGGACCTTTAGAGTTCCAGATTGTCTTAAAACATTTGTTCCAGGCTCTTTGTCCCCATAGTATTCTAATGCCTCTTTTGTTGAGCACTTGTCCTCCTGTCTGGGGTCTGTCACTGCAACATATCGTCACCTTATGTTGTCCTCGTGTTCTCTAGTTGCAAATCTGGCCTCTGAGGTCTAGCTGCCTGTCTGATGCTGTGAAAATGGAAAGAGATGCCTTTAAGTTCTGCAAACAGGAGCCATAAATAATAAGACTTTTAAAATCTTTATGCATTTTTAAACACATCTTAAGATCACAGGAGAGAAAAGGGTCTGTGAAAGGGGTCAAACCATGTCTAGAAGGCGATGTACAGTGTTCAACTCACGACCAGAGGGCCATGTGTAATATTCAACCCATGACCAGAGAGGACCATGTGAGTCTTATGATAGCTGTGATTGTGACCCAATACCAAAGTGTGAACTTACCTAAAACATTACCTGATTTTCTGTGTGTGGCTTGTGTGTGTGTGTGTGTGTGTGTGTGTGTGTGTGTGTGTGTGTAAACATGACCTTATGTCACACAAAATAAAACATAAGTATGCTTGCAACCACAGTACATACCTTGTTGTATTTAATGTGTGGTCCAAGATAATTATTCATCTTTCAACGTGGTTCAGAGAAGCTCTGAGACTGGAGAACCCTAGAAGACCCTGTGTTGAGATTTTTGGCTCTGAGGGCTGCACATGTCACTGACCTGCCCCTGCCCCTGCCCCTGTGGGTAGCCCAGCCCAGGGAGGGTTACAAACTGAAGATGTGATTGTAAATGGCCTCATGACGATTGAGAGTCCTAGACCCTTCTCAAGGGTGAATACTGCCTTTTCCCATTCTCCTACGTCTTCTTTGTTCTTTCTGCTATCTGCCAATCCCTCCCCGTGCTCCTCCATTTTTCTTCCTCTTTTTCAAACTCCTCTTCCACACACCTGGATTACCTGATAGGAATATTAAAGGATGCTTCATCCCCTCGGCATTTGGATTTAATAGGGACATTTTGAAAGTAGTTTCTCCAAAGGAAAGAATGAAAGGAGACAGCCACAGAGTAAGGACAGCATGGAACAAATGTGACAGTTGTCACACCAGTTAGGTAGTGATCTGCTCTTTTGTGCATAGGCCCGGACTTGACTTCATCCAGTGTCCTAGAGTAGGTACTTGATGGTATAGCAAGGACCCCATAGCTAAGATGGGTTCCGTGATGTCGTCAAGTCCTAGGGTCTGAAATATAACCAGAACTCAAGTCTCAGGCCTCCTGTGCAATGCTCAGTCCATTTTTCCACACTGCCCCACAGGCACTACTCCAGACAGGGAGGCATCATCTCCTGACTTGGAAGTGAGGGTGCCCATGACCAAGGCAGTTCTCACAGGCCTGTTTCATCTTGCAGGCATCGACTACCGAGTGAAGACAGTCACTGTGGACAATGCACGGGTGGCTCTGCAGCTGTGGGACACTGCTGGGCAGGAGAGGTGAGGTGCTGCACACCCAAGTCCCAGGCCAGGGCTCCCAAGGAGGGTATGCACCTGACGCTGGCTCTCCCATGGCAGATACCGCTGTGTCACTCAGCAGTTCTTCAGAAAGGCCGACGGCGTGGTTGTTATGTATGACCTCACAGCCAAGCAATCCTTCCTGTCCATTCGGCAGTGGCTGAGCAGCGTGGAGGTGAGCAACCACGTTCCTGGAAGATCTTGGGCTTGCCAGACTTCTCCCTGCTCCCTGACTCTCCCTTGCGGCCCTTGGCACATTCACAACTTCATCTCAGGCTCACATATCCATCCTGAACTCTTCCTCCCACTTGGCTCTGATGTCTGACTTCCCCCACCCAGCTCTGCCCCTCCGTCAGCATCACTCATCGGGACCATGCCCTTTGTCAGCTGCCCATCTGCATGAGTCCCATTACCAAGAACATTAAGGGACAGAATGTAAGCAGATTTAAGAGTTTCTAAGAGTGGCTTAACACAAATCATTTCTCAAAATTCCTGTCCCTAAAACACTTGCTGAATGTGAAGAACTAAAATTGAAATGCCATGGGTTGTCTTTTCACTGAGCTAATGAAAGCCGCAAATGGTACATGGGTATATCCCATTTGAACTTTGAAATTCATGACACAAGTCTTCTCCTAGTGTATCATCATCATCATCCTTCTCTCCCCATTTTTCCCTCCCTCCACCTCCTCTTCCTCCCTCCTTCTCATCCCATCATCATCATCATCATCATCATCATTCTACTCTTCCTTCCTCCCCCTTCTCTCCCTCCTCCCCCTCTTCCTCCCTCCTCTTTCTCCTATCATCATCATCATTCTACTCTTCCTTCCTCCCTTCTCTCCCTCCTCCCCCTCTTCCTCCCTCCTCTTTCTCCTATCATCATCATCATCTTTCCTTTTTCTTCTTCTCCTGTCCCTTCTCCTCCCCCACCCCTCCCCTTCCTCCTCATCTACTCTCTTTGTTGTTGGCAGCACCAGGAGAAACACTGCTGATGATCTAATCTGGTGGGTTTTTCGTCTCGTTGTCCTTGGAGTCCTAAAATCAGGCTGACATTCCCTAGAAAGTGAGGCAGGGCAGGGAAAGGTTTAGTGACCACGATTCAGGGTCCTACATTCTCTTTTCTCCGATGGTCACGATTCTCCTTTCTCCGTACTATCTGCTCATCTTTTCCCAGCTCTCTACATTGGAGGTCTACACACAATGCTGTTAGACAGCAGGGTTTCCATTTGAAAATGGTCAGTCTAGTGCCATCTAGTATAATCCCTCACATCTCAAGGTGAAGAAACTGAGTGGCAGCTTCTCCAAGTCTTTTCAATTCATTCTTCCCCTAGCCTCAGACATCCACACACATCCAAATTGGTACCTGAGCTGGCAAGTCTGGTATTGATGGAAGTGACAGAGGCAAACACGAGACTGTGTTCTCTGCTGTCACTGGGGGTGCCACTAGTCTCTAGACAGCAGGCTGAATCTGGTGAGCAGGAAGAAATTGTAGAAGATATCATTGCAGACTTGAGTATGAGAGTGGTCCTTCACACAGCTGAGCATGGTGTACCACTCCATGGTGGAGTGGGATCATCAGCTCTGTGAACAGGTGCTTAGGCAGGGACCTCACCTCACAGGAGCCTGGAGTCACCCATGGGCTTTGACACCAGGCTGAGGTGGTAAATTGTACATTGCTAACTTGGGATCTTCTCTGTGTGGGTGATTTGTAGTTTGAGTCTTGTCTTTTAAAACAAGTTTGACAGAAGGTGCTGATGAACTCTAAAGGAACTCTGAAGTGACAGTGCCTGAGCACCGGGCTCACCTGAACAACACTAAAGGCAAGGCCTTCCCTATAGATGGGCCAGCCCAGGGCCTGGAAATTAAAAAACAAACAAACCAAAACCAAAAACAAAAACAAAAACAAAAACAAAAATCCAGCTGCCCAGGCAGTTTGGTTTTTCAACCTTCATAGTTCCTACCACAAATAAGTGTTTCTCAAAGTCCTCCATACCTGGGAGTTTCCTGGGAGTCTTAAAAGACAGGCCCACTCACAGGTGCAGGCATATGAGATTCCAGATTTCTAACAACTTTGCAGGGAAGCCAGCGCAGTTATTCTACTCTCAGAATAGCAAGGCCCTGAGTTGTTTTTCAAAGCGCCCCTGAGCCCTGACCAAGACTTTTCTAAGCACAGGTCATGTGCCTAGCACTCACTGGACCCGAGAGGCTGTGCTAGGAAAGGTATCCAGTCCTGCAGCTCAGGGTTCAGGAGCAAATGTAGGAGGCCAAAGGGTTGGCTGTGTGTTGGAGGTGTGAGAAAGAAGCATCATAGATGCAATTATTCCCCCATTCTTGAAAAGCTAAGTCATTCTGCCTTGGCAACCAGCAATCAGAGGTGTCAGGTGATGGATTAAAACTTGACATCTAATTTGATCTGAGGGGAACTGAAAATAATAAGTACTTTATATTTGTGGAGAACCTTATTTTTTTTCAAAGAACTTGGAGCACTTTGCCAACTCCCTCGCCTGAAGAAGGAGGGTGGGGGGAGCTGTAATCACAGTCTTCAGGAGTTGAAGACTTGTTATTAACGGAATGGTGGCCAGCTGTTCCCAGTGCCCCCCCCCACTCCGGGCCACCTGATGTTCAGGAAACAGCGACTTAAACTCTGCTGTGTTTGCCATGAATGAGAAAGGTGTGGTCTTGAAGATTGTGTGGAGGAGATAGGTTCTCAGGGCAGGAGGTGCGGCTCCCTGGGAAAGCAGTTCTTACCTTCTCAGCCCAAACACTTCCTGGCCCTGACTCTTGGGCCAACTATTCACTGAGGGACAGGACCCTGTGCTGCTGTCCCCCCCCCCAATACTACAGTGCATAGCATTGAACTCCTGTAGTGGGGCAGGGCGGGGAGTGACAGAGCAAGCGTGTAAATGATCGGGCTTGAGGGTCCTTCCAGCTTAAAGGCTCTTAGAGACTTGTTATCTAAGAAAACATCTGGAGAGTTACTCTGGCTCTCATATTACAGGAAAAATACCTGGAGAAATTGTATGTGAAGAAGAGCCCACTTGGCTCATGGTTCAGGAGGACCAAGGGGCTGGCTTCTCTCTGCCAGGGCCATCTTAGTTATATTGCATCACGGTGGATGACACCATGGTGGGAGGCAGTGAGGAGACAAAGAGAAGTGGAGGGGCCAGGCTCGCTCTCTTTATGACAACCCTCTTACAGTAACTAACGAAGGTTGGGCATTGGTGGCGCACGCCTTTAATCCCAGCACTCGGGAGGCAGAGGCAGATGGATCTCTGTGAGTTCGAAGCCAGCCTGGTCTACAGAGCAAATTCCAGGACAGTCAAGGCCACAAGGAGAAACCCTATCTTGAAGAACAAAACAAAAGGGACTAGAGACTCACGAGAATTACCTCACTGCCTCCCAAGGATGCATGCCTCATGACCTGGTACCACATGCGAGGCCCTGTTTCCCCTTATTCATCACACCGAGAGCAGAGACAGTCCTGGGGGACCAGTCTCTCTGAACGGGAGCGTCCCGTGTGACGAAGTGGCTTTGCCGTCACAGTACCTCTCCTGCCTCCCCTCCTAGCCCTCACCACGCCAGGCAGCTCCACGATGCCTGCAAGCCCTGTTCAGAGGAGGCTTAGGCTTGGCCCAGTCACAGTCCGTGATGACTCAACGATGAGCTGTGAGTCCTTCCTGCATGCCCAGCCCACCACCTTCCCGTCACCTCTAGGGGAATGCATCTGAGCATTCAGTTTGGAGAAGAAAGCAGTTGGGCATGAGGCACATCATGTTAAGGCGTAGACAAACTAGATATGTGAAGTTCCCAGGGACTTGGGTCAGGCAGAGGTCACAGACCTGGGTACAGCAATTGGGTCTGGTGTGTTCCCCAAGTCTAGGCTGTAAATCTCCAATGTCTAGTCTACTTATTGAACTTCATGTCCAGATTCATTTTTATAATCATTCAGGTAACACCATATTGTAAGGCCTATGCATTAAGGAAGTAGAAAATGGATGGAAAGGTGAATCCATGTAGAACATTTCTGAGCTAAACAAGCAACAGTACACATGCACACATGTGTGCACATACATACACACCTCACTTTGGAGGACAAAGAGAAGAAGTGACTTGTCCAAAGTCACCCACAGTTTGTAGGTACAGTTAGAACCGGGGCCCTGGCACTGCCACCGTATCATGCTTCTTTCTTCATTCAGCCCTGATAGAATCTCCCAAAGCACAGGTACATTGGTCTCTTCTCCAGGCCTTGTTGCTCTAGTCTCCAAGAAGAACGATGCTTCATCTGGAGAGGTTCTGACCCACTTCCTTCTCCCTTACTGGTTGCAAGTGAAATCTCAGACAGTGACCTTTGTCCTTGGTGACAATGTACAGCAGGGAGCAAAAATAGCAGTTTGATTCCCCCCCCCATATTCCAAGTTGAACTTGAAGAGCTGACAGTTTAAAATGAACTATACAAATAAATCTTGTTTTGACTCATAGTCCAGGGGGTGGATAAATATGGAAACCCTCAAGATATAATTTTGCAGTCATTTTTTTCTTAGTATCACGGCATGCTTTAATGTGATGAGAAAAAATTTTTTCTGGCTCCAGAGAAATAGCAACATTCTCCCAGCTAAGTGCGTTTTCATGCCTCCAGCAAACAGATATTCACACAAACACATTCAAGTGTGTGTGTGTGTGTGTGTGTGCATGCATGCACACATACCACACATACCACATACACACACCACACATACCACACACACACATACCACACACACGTACACACACACTCCACACACCACACACACACTATACACATACACCATACACATACCCCATACCACATATGCACTACACACTATACACACACACATACCACAAATACCCACACCACACATACATACCACACATGCCCCACAAAACATACACCACACACATACCATTCACATACCCATATCACACACACACCACACCACACACCAAACACACACACACACACACACACACACACACACACACACACACACCAGCTTGACTCGGCAGCTGCGCACCTAGGGCTGAATGACAGTCCTCTGCTCTTAGTTGACAGCTCTTGTTCTGTAAAATTCAAGCTGGATGATCTTAAATTTCAACAAATCCATCTTCCATCACACTCAAATATAGAGAAAGGCAGCTATGGCAATCAAATGTGTAGAGAGACTTCTGTTAGAACATTCTAGAACAGAGACTATTTTAAGGATCAAAGACTAGCAATTCAGAGAACAGGAACTACTAGAGGACTCATCCAGAGGGAAGATGGCAGCACCCAGCCCCCTAAGGACAGATTGTGTGCCTGGCCAATGGGTTAAGAGCCATCCAACTGGCCTGTGGTGAATATTCTGGGATTCTAGAGCATTATCAAGAACGGAGGCGGCCGGGCGGTGGTGGCGCACGCCTTTAATCCCAGCACTCGGGAGACAGAGGCAGGCGGATCTCTGTGAGTTTGAGACCAGGCTGGACCGATAGCTTCCAAAACAATACAGAGAAACCCTGTCTCGTAAAAACCAAAAAAAAAAAAAAAAAAAAAAAAAGAACGGAGGCTAAGGGAGAGCTGTTCACCAAGTCTCCCAGGCTTAGTAGAAGTGCAGTGCATTTTGTACTTTCAAAAGGAGTTGTCGAGTGAAGGCATGGCTCAGTGGGAGAGTGCCAGCCTTGCATGGTAAAGGCCCTGCATTCCATTTCCAGCACCAAAATAATGATAATGAGAAGTGAGGATAAACTGAAATAATGATAAATCTAAGAGGAAAAGACTGACATCCAAGCAAACCCTCTCTACCGCTCTACAGGTGATGGGGCCGGGGTCATGAGGACTGCTGCTGTCACAGTCAGCACACCCTCTGGTCTGCGTGATCTCATTTATCTTGGAGCTGGGCCTTGTTCTCTGTTTTCATGGCAGCCCACAGAGGGGAAGTGAGTTGTCTGATGTGTTTGTGCGAGGAACGAGCATGTAAAAGATGAGGATGGGGTGCAGCTGGGAGCTTGGCTTGTTTTTCTGCTCTGTCTAAACTCTCCCCTTTCTCTGTCTAGGAATAGCTCTCAAAGAAGTCTGTCCTTCTCCCTGAGAGCACTGGTGTTTGCTCTGCAGAAGGTACATATCAGGCACAAGGCTTGGGCCCACCCCGTCCTACTCAGCCATTCAGGAAGTTGCAGCCATGACCTATTCCATCTACTAATAAAACCTGGGTTGGAGTTCTATGCCAAGATTTTAGGTCTGATGCTCATATTTTCAGAGTTTCCATGTCAAGAAATCCCACAAACCTTAGTCATTCCTCACACATAAGTCTACAAATATATCTTTCTCGTGTGCTCTAAACGGCAAGTCTTTTGGCCCAGTTCCCCAAATCCTCCTCTTTCCTTCCTTTTATGTGAAAAACTCTTTGCATAAGTACTTGGTTGCCTGTGCAGTCCAGATGGATCGGGGCATCCCCATGAACTAAACCTCGGCTAACAGGGAACCACAGCAGTCTGTATATGCTGTTAGCTGGTTTTCTCACTTGAGAATGATTGAAGGGTAGTACGATTTACTTATCAGCTACTTGTGTAATTTATTTTAGAGGGTCAGAAGACAGGCGACATCACCGTGAACACAAATCACACTCTTCCCAGTGGGTATCATTTCCAGAGCATTCTATTTAGTAACATACCAAGCCTCAGGCATTCCCTAGAAATATGAAGCTAGACAAAAAGTTCAGCGACTGATGGAGCCACATACCAATCATAGGTCTTGTTTCCTGGCTGCATAGGACTTTGTGGTCCTCGGAACCTGATGTCCCCACTTAGCAACTGAGAGTTACTTTCTCCCACTGAACTGCAGTGAAACATGAATGTGCAGATTAAGGAGACACGGGGGATTTGATGCTAGAGGTGACTACACTTAAGCTTCAGAACAGGGGTTCCAATCAGGGGCACAGTAGCCATTCCCATGAGATGCTGAGGGAAGGCAGTGAGACTCTTGGCAAAGTCATAACTTAGGCTTGTAAGTGTCTATCATCCCAGAGCCCCTCTATTTAGAAAAATATTTAGCTATGTTATAACTATTAGTTATCAAATTATGATTAAAAGCCCTTAATTAGATTGATGGCTGTGTGGAAAGCATGGGACTGACCCAGACCCCCTGCATGTAGGTGTCAGTGAAGAGGCCTAGGTAATCTATGAGGCCTTGGGTAGTATTTATCCCTGGGGTACAAATGGACTTTGAGTGCCCATCCCACAATGAGGGATGCTCTCTCAGCCTGGACTCTTGAAGGAGGGCCTAGACCCTACCCTGGATGGCATGACAGATTCTGGAGATCCACCATGGAGGGCCTCACCCTCCCTGGGGAACAGAGTGGAGATTGGGTTGGGGGTTGGGTGGCTTGGGGGGCCTGGTGGGGAGGGATGTGGAGGAGGGGAGGGAGAGGGAGTTGGGACTGACATGTGAAACAAACTTGTTTTTAACTTAAATAAAAAAAAAAGGAAGAGGGGGAAAAGCCCCTAATTAAGTATTTCACAAAGTAAAAACAACCACCTTCTTAAATGTAAACATTAATGTATTTACTCACTATATGACCAAGTGTCCCAGGCCCATTGTTCTGCCTCTGGGGACATACATGTAGCACTCCCTTTTTTTGCAGATAGGGCAGAGCCACCCCCAGGATATGGCTGGCATCCCACAGCCATTACAAGAACAAACACGGTGCCACCTTGCATGAAATCATCACTTCTGAACATAGAAGTGCAGCTGACAAGCACATAGCTCCTCCTTCAGTCAACCCTTCTTAGGAGATAAAGCTCGAAGTAGTGTGAGTCCTTAGTGCCTTCCCCCAGTTATCCTCCCAGCAGCCACTTAGGGAGTTCTTTGGCCCAGTATGATGATTCAGATTTGGATGTCCCCGCAGGGAGCTTGTGTGTCACAGAGGCTCAAGATGCTACCTTTCTCCTCAAAGCAACCACAGACCAGCTCCAACCTACACTGATGAATTTCCTAGGTTTGTTCTGCTTTGTTAGGGTGGTTTAGTCACTTGGTCGAGCCCTCAGTGGCACAGTACAAAGTCATAGAAAGAATGCACAATCCCTTGGTGTCCATGTGCCCACCCCCGTCCGGCTACCTCCTCTGCACGAGTGGGTAGTCAATGAGCTTCATACAAGAGCCAAAGAGGATGGTGAAAAGAGAAAGATGATTGCATGGCTGGGGGGAGGGGAAGGGAGAAACAGCCCCCACACACCCCCACACTCACTTTGCAGAAGCATGAAGAGTGGAGATGTTCAGGTGACACAAATCTCACTCTGTTGCATGAGTCTCGATCTTTCCAGGCAGCCCTATGAGCCCGCTGTCTGACATCATCCAGAGAGTCTTCTCTCAGTGGAGGGATGATCTGTTCTGCAGGAAGCTGTGGGAGACCGAATTCCTGTCCTGCTGCTGGGCAATAAACTTGACAATGAGAAGGAACGGGAAGTCCCCCGAGGCCTGGGAGAGCAACTCGCCAAGGTAAAAAACAAAACAAAAATATTTGCCTCTTTCTGGACAGGGACCCTCACCCCACTCAGTATTCAGGAATAAGCTCAAGAGCCTTGGTAGGAACTTCTGAAAGCCCTGTTGAAAGCAAGCAATTGAGCAAATGGGTATCTTGGCATCTTGGGAATGACTTGGAGCCTATATATTTGTAACTGCAAAGACAGGTGAGGTCATAAGGTAGAGCTGCTTGGGGGACACCAGGTAGGAGAACTGCCCTAAATCCTTTTATGTGGAACATGGAATTACAAGTTCTAAGGAAGCAGGAGACTGTTTCTTCTAATCTTGTCCCGATACCGGAATTCCACCGTCTGCATCTCCACTTGATCACCATTGAGACTGAAAACCTCACCATCCACCAGGCAGCAGTATGGACCACTTTGCTGCAGAATGTGTTTGACGTAAGATGTTTTTGACATAAGGAGCCTCAAGGCTGAGATCTGAAACTCAAGGGAGATGTTGGAATGCATCTATATAAGCATCAGCCATTGGGGCAGCAGAGCTCAGTGGAAAGTGGGGTGCAGAAGGGCTCCCCCTGTGCTCCTTTCTTGCCTCTGGTTTCATGGAGCTGTGTATCTGGGAGGAGTGATGCCCAGCGCCCAGTGATGTACAGCTCTTGAGCTATTTACTCAAAACAGGACTTAGCTTCAGAGCCTGAAATGAGCGCAGATGGCAAGAATCAACGTAGAGGAGGGTGAACAGTCCGACTGGTCACTGGGTACCGCCACACCTGACATCCAAATGCTTTTAGGATAGGAGGGGTTTTGTCTGTCGGTCTGTCTGTCTGTCTGTCTGTCTTGTTTTTTGCATTCCACCTAGCAAGAAATCTGCCTGGAATTGACATGAAGCTATTTGTGGACTTTTTCTCACTTCTAATAGATAGCCAAGTGTCTTTTTGAAGAGATATTAATGTATTTGATTACAGAGTGCTGTCCCAGACCCACTGAAGGTGTTATATAATACGTAGTATGTATGTATTACCTTTCTGAAATTAGAAACTTTGAGTTTCCAAATAATGTAGATAAAAATACTTCAGCTGAAGAATATAGTCCTGAATTACGATTATTATCCCATTTTCTTTTATGTTCTCCCTCTTTCATTGTTGATTCTATTTTTGTATTAAGACAGGGTTTCCTAAATCACAGGCTGATGTTGAACTCCATCTTTCTGCTTCTACCTTCAAGTGCTGGGACTCTGGATGTGTGCCAGCATGTCCTATTTGTGCAGTGCTGGGGACCACACTCAGGGCTTCATATGAGCTAGGCAGGGACTCTACCAAGTGAGCTATACCGCATGATCCACATAGTTTTTCATATTATCAATTGGTAAAAACCAAATAAGCATGCAGACGAGAGCTGAATGACTCACTCCAAGTGTGGTTGGTAGTGGTAGGGCGAGCCAGTTGAAGCTGGAAGACAAGTCGTGTGTTCCAGGGTTAGCTTCTGGGCCTTTCTGTTTGCACCTCCACCCTTGAAGTGGCTTCTCCTATAGCCTTCTCCAGAGTCAGCACTGGGCACAAAGCAGGAAGGTGTGAAGCGTGTAGAAGTGATCAGTGGACATGGGGTCCTTGGTCGAGAGCCCCCATACAGCACCACCTCTGCCTAACAAGTGATGCCCCATATACCTACGCTCACAGCCTGGGCAGCCAGGGTACAATCTTACTGGAGCGCCATGACATCTGTCCAAGGTCCACAGAGGAGCCACGTTCTGTATGTAACAGCAGCTCTAGAGTAGCCCTTCTTCTCATTAAGGGCCACATTGACTCAGTTTCCCTGCCTGGAAAACGGTAACAGCCTTGTCTACCCTGGCCTTTCCACCTGCTTCAGAGGCAGATGTGAACCTGATACAAGCGAGCATGCCCTTGTCTGTAGAGCCCTGTTGTCACAGCGTTGTTACAGTCTGCCGATAGCGCCACACAGAGTGAGCATCCATTAGGGGCCTAAGGAGAAAGAAGCCGGCTGGGTCGGGAGAGGAGGCAAGGCTGCAGGTAGGGGCAGAGGGCTCTCTCCTTGGTGTCCTCTGGTCCCCACAGTCCTCCAATTCCCTCTGCATGTCCTCTCTGCTCTGTGATTCCAGGAGAACAATCTGATCTTCTATGAATGCAGCGCCTTTTCGGGTCAAAACACCAAAGAGTCCCTGCTCCACCTGGCCAGGTAGGAAAGGCACCCAGCTAATGAAACACACTGCTGAGCCCAGCTGATGCCTGTCTGCCCTCCCCAGTCCCCGCTCAGGCCATATCTGAGCCCCTTTTCCTGTCCTCCTGAGCCCGAGGGCAGGCATAACTAGAACCTTATAGGGGAATGTTGGAAATCAATGCCAGCCTTCTGAGACAGTAGTGCAGGGAAGAAAAGGACTTGCCACCTCTGCTGTAGTCGGTCCCCTTCACTCTCAGAAGCTGCCATTTGCCCAGAAAAATGCACCTGCAAAATGTCCCATCAGAAGCCCCCCTTAGCACTGGCTGACTCTGCAGTGGGATCAGCTGAGAGTCATCTTCAGAACGAGTGGAGTTCACATTATGGGCTCTTGGTTGGAGAGTCAGGAACCAGAGAGAGATGGGACTGTGTAAAAGTGAAGCAAACAGGACTCCGTCATAAAGGCAGGAACGGGGAAAAGAACTGCAGAAAGACCCCAAGAGCCTGACCACACCAAAAACTAGGGAACTGAACAATACCAGGGGCCTTTTTAACATTCAAGCATCTGTCCATTCCTCCAGCCAACAAGTACTGAACATGGCCGTGTTACACTCACACTGGGGCATCTGACAGTATCTGACTCTGAGTAATTAAGACTCCAGAACATGTTTGCTATATATTAGAGAGGCTGTGGGTTATGGCTTATACTGAGGAGGAAAGTTCTAGGCATTGCTCTGCCACTGACTACATTGGGAACGTAAGAAAATCAGTCACCCTGGTTGGTAGTGATGCACGCCTTTAATCTCAGCACTCGGGAAGCAGAGACAAGCAGTTCTCTGTGAGTCTGAGGCCAGCCTGATCTACAATGTGAGGTTCCAGGACAGGCTCCAAAGCTACAGAGAAACCCTGTCTCGGGGTGCGGGGAGGGGCATCAGTCACACCTTCCCTGTCTAACTAACAGGGTGTGAAAATCAAAGGCGACACAGGAGGTGAGAGTGTCAGGAAAAGTGCAGAGGAAGGTCTTTTCTGTCATTGTCACCTCTCAACTCCTGCGTTTAACCTGCAGCCATGGCCACAGGTGCCATCTCTGCAGAGTTGACAACCAGGCATGAGCATTTGCTGAGCTTCAGACGTGTGTTTGTTACTGTGCTGGCTGTAGGGTCACCAAGATAAAGACACAGTCTCCATCCTTAAGCGAATGCATGTGACCCTGAGTGATGGAGTCACACAGTGAGGGATTAGCGTGCTGTTAGGGACAAAGGTTCACCAAGATGATCAAGGGTGGCTTGCCTGCCAGGTGTCATGACATGAAGGAAGAGTCCATGGTGGCTGAGCTCTCTGTCCTCATAATTATAGTCATGCATCTGTGTGGTAAGAGGTAGACTTTAAACACTGGTGCTCAGGTGAGGGCTGCCTGGTCCCCAGGCCAGCCCCCAGCCTAGCAGTTTCTCTGCTGCTGACACCGTCTCTTCCTCCCCCCCCCTCCACTGCCCAGGCTACTCAAAGAGCAAGAGGACACGGTGAGGAAGGACACCATTCAGGTTGGCCCCCCTGCCAAGAAGAAATCCTGTTGTGGCTGACAGTAGACCCTCTCCCTCGGTCCTAACCAGGCCCACCGTCATCTTCAGCCAGCATTCTCCAAAGACCAAGGTCACATAGCTGCTTGAACCAGCACTTGGGCTCCTATGCAGCAACACCTGGCAGGGCCTACCCTGCCTTGTCCTTGTTGATGGCTTGCCTCCCCTGATGGAAGGCAGCACCTGCAGCTGGAAGGCTGCCCTTTTCTCTATCTGAAGATTTCCCCCTTCTCATCTGTACCCCAGTACCCACTCCTCTCTCCTCCTGCCCCTCCTGCAATGTGGAAAGGAGCAGATGGGCTTTTCCAGAAAAGTCACCACATGCCTGCTCCACCCCCCTTCTCCTCTCTCCGTGCCCTCAAGAGTCTCTGCACGACGGTTGCCACGGCAACTGTGCAGGGGCAACTTGATGCTTCTTGAAGGCCGAAGATGTACCATTTGGGTGACGCTGGGGTAGCCTGTCTTGCTTGGCTCCTGCTCTCTAAAAACCAGAGAGCTGCTCTTGGCACACATGTCATGGACCTTGAGACACTGGAGTGTCTGCTCCCATTTCCGGGGTTCTCTCTGCTTCTTCCTGAGTTCCTGAATGACAGGCTTCACACCCTCTCCCAACAACCACTGCAGCCACTGGAGCTGTGCTCGGGGACTCTGCAGTGTGCTTCCTGACGAACCTCAACCCTGACTCCAGGGTGAACAGTGGGTGACAACTCCATGCCTGGAGTCACAAAACAGGCGTACCTCCTACTTAACTCTGACAAAGAAACCAAAAGAAAACCAAAAGGGAAAGCCATCCATGGCTAAAGATGGTGGCCATTTCTGGAGGGTCTAAGTAAGATATGTGTCACTGCATAAAGGGCGTTTTCTGTGGGTTTCTCCAAATACCTCTTTGGAAAATCACATTTGATTATTGACAGGGTGGATTGACAGGTATGGTGGGGGAGGGGGACCCAACACTAGGTCCATAATTAGTGGCCTCACTTTATTTCATTTTCCTTTATTCAGGGAGATTATACTCTTTTAAAATGCTGCTGCGATGTTGACATTTTCTGGTGCTTGAGAGGTGAGCTGCCTGTAGCTACTGGCTTCAGCAGGGGGCACTTGGCTTCAGGAATGACCTGTACCCTGAAAGGGCCCCTTCCCTGCTGCTGGTCAGCGCTCACTGTCTGGGTACTGGAGAGTCCATCCTTGCCGTGGACAGAAGACAGGATAAAAAGATCACAAAGATCCCTTTTGCAAGTGACTGACATTCCAAGTCTACAGCTAAAGAGGGGGGCACCAGCTCCAGGGAAGAAAGTGGGCAGCCCAACAGGTGAGGATCATTAAGAAGACAGATTATTAGGTACAACCCCACAAAACCAAATAAGCAAGGAGAAACAGTGAGCTAGTGTTCCTAGGCATGTTTTATGGCCTCTACCTCAGAACCCCCAAAGGACGGGAGCCCCTGCAATTATCAGGCATGTGCCCACCTGCTCTTGGCAGGCTTTTATCCTTTGTTGACCTAACATTTGCAGGGACCAGAGAGCTCATGGAGGATGCTTAACAGAATCCACCCCCAGGTGCCTTGAGGAGGTCCATGATCTCAGCAGGCCGGCTCCCACCCCTGACCCTACCCCATCAGTTAAAGATAGGATGGGTTATTTAAGGCTGGGCAACTTTCTGCTCAGGTACATAGGATTCCTTGTGATGACTCTGATGACATAGTCATTTACTGCATAGGCTGGCCCCAGACCTCAGTCTCAGACTGGAGACAACTCCCAAGAATTTCCTTTCCCTCACAAGGGTGATGGTGGGGGTTACATTTGTGGGTTGGAGCATGCAGAAAGGGCATGACATCCAGTCAGAGGCTCTCTCTCTCTCTCTCTCTCTCTCTCTCTCTCTCTCTCTCTCTCTCTCTCTCGTGTGTGTGTGTGTGTGTGTGTGTGTGTGTAGGGCAGGTAGAAGGGAGGATGACTATGGGGTGGGCAGCCAGCTCCTCTGTTTCTGAGCAGAGATGGAACTGGAATTCATAGAGCAAATGGGCTATGCCTGGGATCCTCTGGGTCCCCAGATGTCATAATGTCCAGCACTATGTCCCTACTAGGGCTACCATTCCTGTTCAAAAACAAAGTGCCTTGAAGGACTTGGAGGACAGAGGGAGAACGCTGGTGCCAAGCCTTTGGACATGTGGCAAGTTCCATGGTTCTTTAGAGGTCCAGGAGTAGGTGTTAACAAGGGCAGGGGGCCTAGATGCCACTTTCTTTAGCTCCACTGTAAAGGAAAGAGAAGAATGTAAGCTTCAGTGGGACTCTGAAAAGCCCCTTGTACCCAACTTTCAGATTCTCCTCCTCCCATTATTTTTAAGATACCGTGTGGATCTGAGCCACCCTCGGGAGCTGGCCCAGAAGCTGGCAGGGTGTTCAGAAGAACCTTCTGGCTCCATCCCCTTTGCAACCCTATTGATTAACCAGCTTTCTTGCTCATCTATCACAGACTGGAAATTTCAATGTCTTCCTCACATGGAACTCGAGTTACAGGATCAACGGCCATGAAGGACTCAGCACTGTCCCCAGTACTTCCCAGGCATTGGTCACCAGGGCCTGTTTCATTGGTAGCACAGAGCCACTGTCCAGACCACTTTCCAGACATCTGCCCTGATGGGCACAATTACCAACACCACCTCATGTGAGCATCTCTCTTCTCAGCCCATTGGCTGACTTCGATGTCAGAGCTGACTTCTCTTTCAACCTTGCTGTTGTTTGTTCCCAAGGACTCCCAGGAGTCCTGGGTTCCTACCAGGTCCTATAGCCTAGCAGTGGCCCTTGATGATTCCAGGCCCCAGGCTGTGTCTCTCCCTCCCTGTCACTCATCAGGACTGGGGAAGCAGCTGAGACCTGGTGCCAGGCCATGCTTATTTACCTAGAGTGACCTTGACTCTCGACAGTCCCACAGATGCCATACCTTCTCACCCTTAGCTGACTCATGCTGCTTTGTGTCTGCTACAACCACAACCCTGTCACCAAGTCAGGACGTACCGCACCAAACTAATGTCCCAAGTCTTTCGTTCCTGCTTAGGGTTTGATTCTTTCCGCCTCTTTGGGATGTTTCATGTTCCCCCTGTGAACATGCAGTCCCCCCATCTCTCTGTCCCATTCTTCACCTAACTCTGGACTCCCCACTCTCTTCAGAATCCCACTCTAGCCAGACCTATGACCTTTGCCAAATGGCCCTGCTCTGGGTCTGCAGTGAGCAGTGCTCCAAAGGGTCCTAACTGGCCTCAACTAAGGTGCTAACACGTGGTGGCCTAGGGCTCCCACTGTGATTTCACAGAGAACTCTAAGAAAGATAGTGTTTATATTTAAGGAATGAGTCTGGAGGGAGAGTTTTAAGCCCTAATAGTTTATAGGGGTCAATAGTTGTGGCCATGCTGCCTTTCTCTCTGCCCCTCTCAGAGATTTGTTTGCTCCATAATTGGGGCCTCTACTGCTAGGTTCAAACATATCCAAACAATGACATCTTCAGTATATAGTGGCATCCTTTGTCTTCAGTTAACTTTTGCCTTAAAGTCTATTTTGTGGTCCATCTTTTATTTTCTGGTACATGGTATGGTTGTTTTTTCACTTTCCAACCTGTATATCTTCAAAGTCAGTCTCTTGTAAACAATATACTTGGTTCACATCTCTTTCCAGTATCTCTTAATTGGAAATTTTAGTTTGTTTATATTTAATATGATTGATAAGAACTGATTATGTCTGCCCCTTTGTTATTTCGTGTGTGTGTGTGTGTGTGTGTGTGTGTGTGTGTGTGATTTGTTTTTCCATCACCACATTCTTTCTATTAAATAGATATTCTCTGGTTCATCATTTAATAATCTTACCTGCTTTATTTTTAAAATATATCTTCTTGGTATTTGCAATGAGGGTTACTATGAACATTTCAATTTATAACAATATATTTGGAGCAATAACAACTTAATTTCTTTTATTTAGGGCTTTACTTTTTATTTCACCTGACTGCTAACTAACTTAAGATAATAACATAAATGAATAACAACAAAAAATCAGCCGGGATGTGGCAGCACACGCCTTTAATCCCAGGATTCGGGAGGCAGAGGCAGGCGGATCTCTGTGAGTTTGAGACCAGCCTGGTCTACAAGAGCTAGTTCCAGGACAGCCTCCAAAGCCACAGAGAAACCCTGTCTCAAAAAACCAAAAAAGCAAAAAAAAAAAAATTAACTGTTTCTTAATGTTGAACTCCTAAGTTCAACATTAAGTAAATGCTAAGTAAATCCTAATGTGTGATTTTGTACATGATGTAGCCTTGAGATGTTGCAAGTATCAGAAAATTATGAACCCCTACCTTGGATATTAGTTGAATAACAATTTTCCTAAAACACAAAATTCTGATTCTGTGTAGTTCTATTCTCTTCTCCTTTATGTTGATATATTATCAACAATTATCTATATGCCTCTGAGCCTGTCATGTAGATTTACAATTATTGCTTCATGCATTCATCCTTTAGTTTGTCCTTTAAAAGGAGTTATGAGTGGTCTAGGTACAGAGAAAAAATGTCAGTGGAATGCTCATCTATAAATAGGATGTCTATATCTCCTCCTACCCTCAAAACTGGGACCATCAGAGAAGAGAGGATGATAAAATTGTTGGGAAGGACTGGCCCCAAACAGTATCTTCTGAACATGACAGGACCCTGCACACATGATCTCACAGCAGCTGTGGTTGCCTTCGCAAGATCTGCACAGGATCAAGCCAGTTAACACCCAGCATTAGGAGGGGGTGCTCATGAATCAATACCCCCAGAAAAGGGGCTGCTGATGGCCTCTGGGGAGGGAGAATCAGTTATCTTTAAGGGTGTGGTCCCTGGGGGATCAGCCATGCTCCAGTGAAAGGTCCCACGCTTGTGACTATATGGACAGTACTAATCAGACTCCATGGGTTATTAAAAAATACAGAAAAAGGACAAGTTGGGAAAGAATATTGAGGGGGGGAGTGAGTTTGGGAGGAGTTGGGGGCAGGGATGGGAGTGAATATGATCAAAATATATGTATGTATGTATGAAATTACCAAAAATTAATAAAAATATTTATTTTAAAGGAGTATAAAGTAAAGAATGCATTTATAGTCTTTCATATTTAACTGTATAATTTTGCCAGTGCGCTTTATTCCTTCATGTTTATTCATATTATTGGTTCTCTCTTTGTTCACCCAAAGGACTCTCTTTAGTGCTTCTCAGAAGCACCTACCTACTAGAGTGAAACTCCTCCAGTTTCTATTCATCTGGAAATGTACTAGCTTACCCTGTTTGTGGGTGTGGTTGGCCAGATATTAAATTTTCAGTTGACTTTCTTTTCTGTTTCAGCACTGTGGCTGTGCCCTCCCGCTGTGTCTGGTGCCTGTAGTCCCTGGTATGAAATTAGCTCAGCCCAACTGAGGAGCCCTTGTATATAAGATGTTGCTTTTCTCTTTGTGCTTTCAAAACTCTTTGTCTTTAATGGATGGATTTCCATGTCTGACTATGGATTTCTTTCGGTACACCCTACCTAGATGATGTTGAGTTTCATAAGTTTGGGAAGGTTTCTGTCGTTATTTCTTCGCATACCATCTCCTCGGCTTCCAGAATTTTCATTACGCAGCGCTGGCATTCTTGATAGTTCCACGGGTCTTTGAAGTTCCATTTGTTTCTCTTCATCCCATTTTCTTTGTGCTCCTCAGTATGGAGGATCTCATTTGTTCATTGTTAGGGTTCCTCTGTCTTGGTTGATTTCCTCTACTTTGTAAGGTATGACTCACCCTTCCTTTTACTTCTTCAGGGGTGGCTTCCCTTCAGGTCATCTGGGCACATTTAAAATGGCTTACCTTTAGGGTGCATAGTGGGTAAAAAGCACCTGCCACAAAATCCTGATGACCTGAGTTCATGCCCAGGAACCCATGGTGGAAGGAGAGAACAGGCTCCTATCTTCTGGCCTCCATATGTATGTGTGGCAGTTGTGCACTCCAGATACACACACACACACACACACACACACACACACA